GCGCCTAGCGCGCCAGGTGCGCCAGGTGTGCCAAGTGCGCCAGGTGCGCGCCAGGCGCGCCAGGTCCGCCAGGTGCGCCAGGTGTACGCCACGTGCGCGCCAGGTGCGCGCCAGGTGCTCCCAGCGCGCCAGGTGCGCCAGGTGCGCGCCAGGTGCGCGCCAGGTGCGCGCCAGGCGCGCGCCAGGTGCGCCAGCTGCGCCAGGTGCGAGCCACGTGTGCGCCAGGTGCGCGCCAGGTACGCCCAGTGCGCCAGTTGCGCCAGGTGTGCCAGGTGCGCCAGTTGCGCCAGGCGCGCCAAGTGAGCCAGGTGCGCCACGTGCGCCAGGTGCGACAGGTGCGCCAAGTGCGCCAGGCGCGCCAGACGAGCCAGGTGCGCCAGATGCGCCAGGCGCGTCAGTTGCACCAAGTGTGCGCCAGGTGCGACAGGTGTGCGCCAGGTGTGCCAGGTGCGCCCAGCGCGCCAGGTGTGCCAGGTGCGCCAAGTGCGCCAGGCAAGCCAGGCGCGCCAGGCGCCCAGGGCGCCAGGTGCGCCAGGTGCGCCAGGTGCGCGCCAGGCGCGCCAGGTGCGCCAGGTGCGCCAGGCGCGCCAAGTGAGCCAGGTGCGCCAGGTGTGCGCCAGGTGTGCGCCAGGTGCGCCTAGCGCGCCAGGTGCGCCAGGTGCGCCAGGTGCGCCAGGTGTGCCACGTGCGCCAGGTGCGCCAGATGCGCAAGGCGCGCCAGGTGTGCGCCAGGTGTGCGCCAGTTGCGCGCCAGGCGCGCCAGGTGCGCCAGGTGCGCCAGTTGCGCCAGGCGCGCCAGTTGCGCCACGCGCGCCAGGCGCGCCAGGTGCGCCAGGTGCATCAGGTGCGCGCCAGGTGCTCCCAGCGCACCAGGCGCGCCAGGTGCGCTCAGCACGTCAGGTGCGCGCCAGGTGCGCGCCAGGCGCGCGCCAGGTACGCCAGTTGCGCCAGGTGTGCGCCACGTGTGCGCCAGGTGCGCGCCAGGTGCGCCAGTTGCGCCAGGTGTGCCAGGTGCGCCAGTTGCGCCAGGTGCACCAGGTGGGACATGCGCGCCAGGTGCGCCAGGTCCGCGCTAGGTGTGGCAGCTGCGCCAGGTGCACCAGGTGGGACATGCGCGCCAGGTGCGCCAGGTCCGCGCTAGGTGTGGCAGGTGCGCCCAGCGCGCCAGCCAGGTGCACCAGGTACGCCAAATGCACCAGGTGCGCCAGGTGTGCGCTAGGTGCGCGCCGGGTGCGCCAGGGGCGTCAGGTGCATCAGGCGCGCCAGGCGCGCCAGGTGCGCCAGGTGCGGCAGGTGCGGCAAGTGCGTCAGGTGCGCCAGGCGCGCCAGGTGCGCCAGGTGCGCGCCAGGTGCGCCCAGCGCGTCAGGTGCGTCAGGTGCGCCCAGCGCGCCAGGTGCGCGCCAGGTGCGCCAGTTGCGCCAGGTGCGACAGGTGCGCCACTTGCGCCAGGCGCGCCAAGTGAGCCAGGTGCGCCATGTGCGCCAGGTGCGCCAGGTGCGACAGGTGCGCCAGGTGCGCCCAGAGCGCGCGAGGTGCGCCATGTGCGCGCCAGGTGCGCCACGGGGAAAGGGAGGCCTCAAAGTGATCTGCGTATGACGTACCTCCGCTGGGCCTCCCAGGAACCCACGAAAATGGCGACAATTGCGCAGATCGCAGCCCCGCAGGGGACAGGAGGCCTCAAAATGATCTGCGCATGACGTGCCTCCGCTGGGCCTCCCAGGAACCCACGAAAGTGGCGACAGTTGAGCAGATCGCAGCCCCGCAGGGGACAGGGACGCCTCAAAACGATTTGCGTATGACGTACCTCCGCTCGGCCTCCCAGGAACCCACACAAGTGGCGACAGTTGCGCAGATCGCAGCCCCGCAGGGGGCAGGGATACCTCAAAGTGATCTGCGTATGACGTACCTCCGCTGGGCCTCCCAGGAACCCACGAAAATGACGACAATTGCACAGATCGCAGCCCCGCAGGGGGGGACAGGGAGGCCTCAAAGTGACCTGCGTATGACGTACCTCCGCTGGGCCTCCCAGGAACCCACGAAAATGGCGACAGTTGCGCAGATCGCAGCCCCGCAGGGGACACGGAGGCCTCAAAGTGATCTGCGTATGACGTACCCCCGCTGGGCTTCCCAGGAACCCACGAAAGTGGCGACAGCTTGCGCAGATCGCAGCCCCGCAGGGGACAGCCAGGAGCCCACGAAAGTGGCGACAGTTGCGCAGATCGCAGCCCCGCAGAGCACCGCGAACACAGGAGAGAAGGATGAGGAGCGGGCGGGAAGCGGATACCACAGTGCTCTCTTCAAAACGAGTACCCAACACAAGGAGGGTTGGGAACAACATGTGCCCCTCGATGTGATTGTTTTTTAATTACATTCGGCCCAGGGCGCTGACAGTGATTGAACAAATCAATGCCCCCCAATGTGATTCAACCAATCAAGCATGCCGCGCGTTGGCCTCCAGACCGCTACTTGAGAATCCCCCGTTTTCGGGTGGCTGACTCTGCAGACAGGGCGACGACCGCCACCCCAGAATCCCCAGTTCTCTTACACTACCTAGCTTATACCACATAGCTCACACTAGCTTAAACCACATAGCTTACACCGCACAGCTTATACAACTTAGTTTGCACCACATTGTTTAAACCAAATAGCTTTGACCTCCAGCTCGAAACGCCTAGTTCGCGCGACATGTATTACGAAGTATAACTGGTACCACATGGTTTAGACAACATAGGTGCCACCTCCAACACGCGCTTGTAGCCTCACACCACGTAGCTAACACCAAATAGCCTACACAACGTGGATTTCACCGCATAACTGCCACGTCCACAATACAATGCCTCCCTGTTTGGGGTCCACGCCGGCTAACACTACTCAAGAATCGTGGTCTCGCCTCCAATTGTCGCGCCATGCATGCAACATTCGCGCTCTCGCTGCTCTTTACCCGTTCTGTTACTCCAGACTTTCTCACACTTTGACTAAGAATCAAACTTTCTCTTGAGACGTTCTCGCACTTGATTTGCAAAAGAACGGCGACTTCATGTCCCGTGCCCACACAGGCCGCGGGGGTCCGCCCGCCTGACCCTCCCGTGAGGGTTCGCTGGGCCAATTGCTCGGCAACCCATCCGCCCACTTTATATTGACTTCCCCGCCAAGGCCCCGCCCGCGCGACGTGCCCGTCGAGGATCGCCCGCCCGACCCGCCCGTCACCGCTTGCTTGGAAACCCGCCCGCTGGAATGGCCCCCCCGCCCGACCTGCCCGCTGGGCCTGCCCGCCCGACCCGCCCGTTGGGGTCTGGCCGACCGTTGGGCGTGGCTTAATGGGTGGGGTCACAGATGGGGGGGTCGGAAAAGGTCTCCTTTCGTGCCCCTTTCGGGCGTCTCCAGAGCCCCAGGGGGCTCGTTTAGGTACCGTTTGGGTACCTTTTCGGACCACCCTCGCCACCCCCCCATGTATGACCCACCCATTACGCGGCGCCCAAGCCCAACCCGCCCACGAGACTCCGGCCGCCCGACCCGCTTCTCTCACCCTGTCGGGGTTTACGCAGGGGCTGGTATTGAAAAGTGAAGCCGCCCCCCCCCAACGTGGGCGCACAGTCATAGAAGAAGAGGACGGGAGTCAATGCCATGGGGTATATAATGTATGATACGCAGGCGATGGAGAGCGAACAATGTTCCGATTACTGTGGGGGGACGGCAGGCCCTTTTGCATGAATCCCACCATGAAGGGGGGGAACTATCATGTTGGATGCATGCCGCATGTATAAGCATCGAACACGTTGGTACAAGAAAATATCCTGTCGTTGCAACTGCACATAATAATATTCTGGAGATCGTTTCTGGGACCTGGGACGGTCAGAAACGATCAACAAAACAGTAACCGTGGAAACGGGTCGAGAACGCCAGGGACTCCGCATGAAACAAGTCTTGACTTCTGAGGTATGGGGAGCAACCTGGTTCCTCAAAAGGCTCCAGGAGCAGCCAGGAACAGGCGGAAACAGCCATAAAAAACCATGGAACAACCGCGGGGCTCAACTAGCAACAAGAACAAGCAAGACCAACCGAGGATGCCAACACCATCCAACTGTGTCCCAAAACGCAACTGGGAGCACCAGGAATGCCATCAGGAGCCAGAGCAACTGAGGCCAAAAGGGCAACAGGTAAAAGCCAGAAACGGCCAGCAGCACCAAGAACAAGCAAGAGCAACCCTGGCCAGAAGGGTGGCAGGAACGGCCAGGGAGCTACAGGCAGAGCCAGGGCGAAAGGGCCATCTAAGGGCACAGTAGCACCATGAACAACTAGCGGCATCGGCAGCGAGCAAGAGGATCTCGAACGAAAGGGGCATGATCAATCAACGTACCAATCGAAAACCGGATCCAATCGGAATGCGCCTCGGAAAGGCCGCATCCGCCCTGAATCTGAATTGGATCGGATCGGCCGCACCAACATGCGCAACAAACCTCTGCGAACATCTGGCCGCACTGGCTTGCCGGAATACGGGAATCGAATCGGATCAAGCTGACGGGCCTGTTTTCCACCAGCACCACCATCATAAGTTGGAGGGGGGAAGGAGGAGGAGGAGGAGGAGGAGGAGGAGGAGGAGGAGAAGGAAGAGGAGGAGGAGGAGGAGGAGAGGAGGAGGAGGAGGAGGAGGAGGACCACCCACCCCCCCCAGCTTCTGGTGGCGGTGGCGGTGGTGGAAGACAGGCCCACCACAGGGCAGCCCGCATCGATCTCGAAAGATTTCGGTCGGACCGATCCTGCGCTACTGGTGGCCCCTGGGGGCCCTCCGGCCCTGGGGGGCCCCATCTGTGCTGACGTCCGTGACTGGCCGCGCCCCCCCCACCGTCACGCCACGATTCGCCCCGGCGCCGTGTGGGAGTCTGCAGATGAGCATCCCCACCAAAACTCACAAAACGCGCCGAACTTCCCCCAAAATGATCCTTCCTCCGCGGAAAGTCTGTTTGGTGATGAGCGCTCCCCACCCCCGCCCTCTGGTTGCGGTCCTTGTCGCTCTTGTTCCTGATCGCGGCGTCGAACACCGCCTCCAGCTCTCTCGCCCGCTCGGGCCCCTCCATGTGGAAAAGGCGAGGTCATTTGAGAGTTGGTCAGGCGGTGCCCCAAAAAGACCCCCAGAGCCGCCCAAGAGGCTCCCGGAGGCGAGCCGAGAAAAGGCCTCCGAGACGCCTCCAAAAGAGGGGGATCCCCTCATTCTCCTCCTCCTCCTCCTCCTCCTCCTTCTCCTCAGGCCTTCCCCGTCCTCTTCCTCCGCTTTCCCCTCCTCTTCCTCATCTCCGTCCCACTCCCCCGCCATACTCGACACCCAGACCTCTCCAGGAGTGCGCTGTAACAAGATCTCCGAAGCGGATGCAGCCGAAGCCTTAGGAGCCCTGCGGACGCCACGAAAAAAACACATGAACCCACGTGCATCGATCAACGTCGGTCTCCTCTCTCCGCCTCGCCCATAGTCGGCGGCGAGCCCGTGGGGGGAAATGAGAAGGGACGGGCCCTCTCGGAAGGCTCGGAAGCCCCCCCCGGCATTCTGAGAAGTTCCCCAAGCCTTCCCCGGAGTCGCCGAAAGCTTCCCAGAAGGCCCGAGGGCCTCTGAGAAGCCCAAGCCGCCTTCTGAGAGGGCCTCCTCCTCCTCCCTTCCCCCCCCCTCGCTCGCCGCCGACACACACCGAAATCTGCCCAGCAGCGGCCCCCGACCAGCCTACCGACGAGCCAGCCGTTGCCTGGGCCTCCCCCCCGCATCGATATCGATCTCCGACGGCGGCCCCGGGTGTGCCCGAGACAGGCACCCCCCGGGGTGCGCAGTGGAGGAGCGGCATCCAATGGGCGAACCATGCCGACTCTCCCAAAGGGGGGTCCGTGCCCTCCCCGCGAAGACAATCAGAAAGGCCGCAGGGCCTCCTGCGGTCCCAGATCCTCCCATCTCGATCCCCCCCGACCAGGCACACTGCGACGGCTCCTGCCATCTCGAGCCTCCTCGATCGGCAAACTCCGCCAACCTCGATGCTCCACTCTGAGGCCCTCCTTTAGGAGGCAACTACTGGGAGGTTTTCGTCGGAAAGATTAAGGAGGATTAAGCCCCATTTGGGAGCTGTTACGCCGGAGTGGGCCTCGGACTAAGCAAGATTTAGCCGGATTAAGCGGAATTAAGCGGGATTAAGCCGGATTGAGCGGCATTAAGCCAGATTAAACCGGATTAAGCCGGACTTCGGACCAGGGCAAAATCAGAATTTGACCTCCCAGGAGTTGCATCCGAACCTCCTCCTCCTCCTGCACATCCCAGCGATCGGCAAGCCTCGCCTCGGCTCGGCGGGCGCCCGCCCCCCGTCAACGGTGCGCGGCTCCCCGCCTGGATGTGCCGCTCGCACGTGCGGAAGGCGCCCTGCCCCGCCGCGCTCCTGCGGGGCCCCGCGCGCGCGCCGAGGAGGAGCGGCCAGCCACGAGGCGAGCCCTCTCGGCAAAGGCGGCGGCGGCGGCGGCCAAGATCACGGCCCGCGGGGGAGCCCCCAAGGCCGACGCGGTGGCCGCTGGAGGCGTCTCTCTCCGGGAAGACCAACGCGGACCAAACACGGCCCAGAGGGGTCCTCGATCCTCCTCCTCCGAATGTAGGACGACGATAAATAAAGAACTGGAGGGGAAACGATCAAACAAATAGTTCCCGACTCGCGAATAAAACTGAGGGGACGAGTGAACATTGATCGAACATCTTAAGCCAACCAATGTATGTTCAATGTGAAACCATCTTGGAACTGCATTGGGATCCTAGTGGAACCCTCTTGGAATCGTGGAATCCGACTGGAGCCCTGGAATATGGAATTGGAATCCTATTGGAATGCATCCCCTTGTACAGCTCCTGTTCATGCATTTCCTACTTCGCTCCGAGTGCAGTCAGTATTACCCCATATCCTGCTACGACTCGTATTGCAGATCCCAGCTACCTCCAAGTACAGCTCCTGCGAAGGACTGCACGTAGCTCGTGTCACTCTAGTCTCTGCTACAACTTACCCTACTGCACTGCAGCTGATACAGCCCAACCACAATTCGTAATGTTACAACTGCCACTCATATCTGATGCCAACTTCGCCTGCAACACCTATCACATCTTCAGCTGCACCTGCATATCGTCCATCTCCTGTAACAACTCATGGCGATTACATAGCCTATCTGTTCGTCGTTGCGAATGCATCTCGATGCTGTTGACTCCCATCCTTTCTCCTTCACCCCCGGCCTGTCGGCCGTCTGGACGCGCCGCGCGCCCGAGGGCGGGGGGGGAACGATAGACAAAATCCGTTCCCGGCCCGGGGCCGGCTTTTCTAATCATATTTCTGGGCGCCGCCGCGTGAACACGACCTTCTTTTTCTTGCGCCGGCTGGCGGGCATGCACCAAGACCCCGTAGGGTCGACACGCCCGCTGACAGCGGGCCAAGCAGGGCAGCACGGCATCAAACCAGAGGCCTGCAAAACGGGGTCGGAATACATGGGGTCGGAGGACCGCGCCGCATCGCCCATACATCGCCGATGCATGGCCGATGCATCGGCGATGCGTCGTCGAAGTTGGCGATACATCGGCGACGTCGACGCGAAGCAAATCGGGCTTCACATCGAGCCGCATCGGCGATGAATCGGCGATGCGGCGCGATCCTCGGACCCCATCTACTCCGACCCCATCTAAGAGGCCTGGACAAACGGGCCAAGGACGCGGCTCGCTGCTGCCTTGAATAAGTCCAGCGAGGCGCTGAGCTGGAAGAGAGCGTGTGGGATGTTTGACAAGAGCAGCACCTCCCAAACCTGAGGCTGGACCTCCTTCTCCTTCTCCTCCTCCTCCTCCTCGTGCTCCCCAGCCTCTCCGACCAGCCACGACCGGGGGAGCTGAGCTACTTACGCCCTTGAGCACCTCGTACCGAAGATCACTCGAGGAGGCTGTCGGGACCGGTGGGCACTTTAGCCTGCCTCAGCTTGCGACTGGATTGAAGGCGGGGCGTCGCGATGGAAGCATCCAGGAGCCAGGTGCGAGGATCACAATGAAACGAGCTGGGGCGCGTGTTGGCCTCTCTTGGTCCTCTGAGACTCTGGGGCCTCCCAAGGCCTGGCCTCTAGCCTCTGCACGCGGCCGGCCCAGGCAGAGGCGGCGCCAGGACTTTAGCAGGCCTGCCCCCCATGGATGACGGTGCCGGGGACCAAGTCATCCCAGGTCGCTCTTTGATGGTCCCAGGCGGGGCCCGACACCTGCCCCCCAGAATCCCAACACAAGGCAAGGCCTCCGCCCTGACCCGTCCAGGGCGCCGGGGGGACGCGGCGAAGAGGCCACGGCAGCCTCCTCGCCTGGCTCAAGGCCGCTCAAGAGCGGTCCCCGGAACCCTCCTGGGATCCTTCCTGATCCGTTGCTCACTGGCGGCGTGCATCAGGGGGCAGGCGGACCGGGAAGGCTCCTTGGAAGGAGGCGGCGGGCGCCAGCCTAACACCTCCAGACAAGGCCCGCGCCCTCTGAGAAGCAGGGGTGCTTCTAAGAGCCCTTCCCCCCCCCCCCCACACCCCCCTCTGCGCGCGGCGCGTGGCCGCATCCTGCTCAGCTTTTCGAGGCGGACCCAGCCGTGGCGACGAGAAGCCGCCCAGGTGGGTGGCCCAGCATCAGGACAGAGGAACGACAGCAAGGACCGCCGTCGCCTCGACACCGCCAGCATGGGCCTGGCCAGGCCGTCGCCAGATCCTCGAGGGCTTACCCGCAAAGGTCCGAAATCCTGATTCCAATGGACCCGAACCCAAGCGACACCACCCCACCTGCGACCCAGCGACGCTGAGAGCTTGGGCACTTGCCCCCCATACGACCACCTGCGACCCACCCACGACACCACCCCACCTACGACCCAGCTGAGACCCAACGGGTCGTAAGTGGGGTGGCGCCGAATTCTGCGGGGTCTCTGGCATGCCCACCCACGGCTCTCCATCACTGTTTTCGCTTATGGCCCAGGGGCCGGCGAGGGCCCTACTAGAGTCTCCCGGGAGCCTGACAGCGGAAACACCTCCGAACTGACTTGCCCCCCGGTGTGCCAGGGGCCCGGGCGCACCTCTCGTGAGCATCCCTCCTCGTCGCCCGATCCCCGTGTGCTCGACCGCGGCATCGCGCGAGAGTCCGCCGCCCGGTGCGCCCATCGGAGGCCCCGCACTGTCCGCCGCCTCCGCCCGCCGCTGCGGCACCTCCTCTCCGCCTGCTGCCACCCCGTCGGCCGCCCCCCTGCCTCGTGGGCGAACGCGTCTCCGTATATTTGCGGCCTCGTGGGCCGGGCCGCCGGGCCGCAACCCCGCGGACACGGGGCGTTTTTGTCGCGGATGCGCTGCGCGGAGGAGTTCCGTGCGACTGCGTTTCTGCGGGGTGGCGCACCAGAATTCAGACCGCGCGGGCGCGGATGTGGATGTGTTCGCCGCCCGTGGGACCTGTATTTCGCAGGCAACTGCTGGGAAGTCTTCGTGGGAACGTTTGACGGCTATTAAGCTCGCTCGAAAGGCCATTGGGCCATATTTCGCCAGATCCAGCCCAACGTTAAGCTGGATTAGCGCGGGGAAACCCGATTAAACAGACTTGGGCCAGACTAGGGCGTTTTCCATCTTCGGATTTACCAGCGCCTGTGGTGAATTGAACCCTCCAGACGTTACAACCGGGCTGCCCTCCCCTTACGGATGAGGCTGCAGCGGACTGAGGAGGTAGTGCAAGGTCCTTCGTCGTCATCATCGCCCGCAATCGAGGATCGAGGATTGCGGCTTCCTCGCTGTCTCCTGCCGCCCTCCTCCTGCCCTTCTCTTGCAGGGAGGGCTGCAGCGGGCTGTAGAAGTATGCAGTGCAACGTCCGCCGCCGTTGTTGCCGCCGATCGGGGGCCAAGGCTTTCGGGATTCTCTGGGCGCCCTGGAGAGCTCTGGAGGACTGGCATAACTGCTGCGGGAAGCCGATTCGCACCCCAGCCCGCCAAGCTGAATGGCCCGGACGAGAGCAGGATAAGGAGGATCAGGATCAGGAGCAGAGAAGGCAGGAGCCCGGGGTGAAAAAGAGCAGGGGGGGGGGTAGCGGCGAGGGCGGCGGGCATCCTGAGGTCACTGTCCGACGCCCGCCGAAGGTTCTCCAGAGCCTGCACCAGCTTCTGGCGCTGCTCCTCGCTGTTCGGCTCGAAGTCCTCGAGCTCCTGCAGGCAAGAAACACGAGGACTGGGATGACGACGGCGACGGCGACAGGCGACAACGACGAAGACGAGGACGCGAAAGTGGAGGACGACGACGAGGACGAAGGCGGAGGACGAAGGCGGAGCACGACGACGAAGACGATCATGATGACGACCGCACTGATGAGGACGGAGGCAGAGGACGAAGCCGACAATGAAGAGGGGGCAGATGGTGGAACCAGGGGGCGGAAACTGTGGATAGCACCGAAATCGCTCAAGATGGTCTCCGAACACACCGAAGAGCGAACCTGGAGAGGCCCAAGACAGCACCAAGGAGACTCCATACGAGCCCAAGAGTGGGGATCAACGGGTGGCTCCACTATTGCCCCGAACCAGCCCCAAAGTCTGTGCTTGCACGCGCCTCGTTGTCTGTGCGTAGTCCTTTCCACATAGCGCTGGCACTCGCGGATCATGGATGCAGGCGGTGGCGGAGGATTTGGCATGTTTGGTCTCACGTGCAAACTCGTTGGACCGATGCGCGGCGTAACAACTCGGTCGTTGAATCGCGAACATACGTAAGCGACACAAGCGGCTCAGCGCGGACGTGGGAACGACCAAGATCCAGCGCGAGCGGAATCGTACACAGACGTGACGTGGGCGGAAAGCCGCCGACGGGCTGAGAGCAAGTGTTCGCTGGCCAGGCGCAGTTAGCAACACATGCCTTCACTGTGCACGGCGTTACACGGCGCACACGTGAGCTCATTGACAAAGCGGTCGGACCCCGTGCGCATGCGGTATTTCCGCACTCGTGTAGAAATCGCTACTCGTCTTGAGGAGCGCTCAAGGAGATGCCGCGCTGTCGTCCATGCCGAGCTTGCCGCGTCTGCCAGCCAGTGTCCCACAGCGGACCACGACTGGCGGGGCGCGGAGGCCAGAAAGGGCCAGGGACCGGATCATGCGGACGCCCCCGCCTGTCGGCTGCTTGGGTCTCTGACCAGGGAGGCTTCCGAAGCTGGCCTGAGCCACGAGTCCCCCCTTCCAAATCCGCAGACCCCTTGGGGTCATGGCGTGTGAGTTCTCCTCCTCCCCAAACCCATCCCCCAGGAGCCCGGTCCGGCCGTTTTGGAGGATGTGGGGGGGGTGGGGGACCAAGGTGCCGGCCGCACCCTCAGGGGGCCCCAAAACGGGCCCAGAGGGCCCCAAAAGGCCCCCTGGACGGTCCAAGAGGGCTACGAGTCGCCGAAAGATCGCTTCAAGACGCCCAAGACTGCCTCCAGACGGTCCCAGAGGCCCCCAAGACGCCCCAAGAAGCCACCAAGAGGCGTCCCAAGAGGCCCTCTCGTCCCATTCCCGAGGGAAAACGTATAAGTTTAGCACATTCGCCCCTTGGGCATTCACGAGGCCCACAACGGCCCAAGAAGCCTTTAAGATCGACCCAAGATAGCCCAAGAGGCCCCCAAGAGGGCTCCAAGACGGCCCAGGAGGGCCCCAAGGCCACAAGAGGAGGTCCAGAAGGGGAATCCGAATAAATATTTCGAGCACTCGGCCCCGAACAAACCTGAGGAGGCGCCAATAGGCCCCCCAGAGGCTTCCACGAGGCCCCGAGAGGACCAAACGAGGCTCCTAGAGTCTTCAAAACGGCACCCAAGAGGCCTCAAAAGTGCTGCCAGGAAAACCCAGAGAGGCTCAAAAGCAGAGCCGCGATCCGCCAACCGCCCCCGACGAAATCCCAGAAGCTGAAACCCAAAGATTCCCCAGAAATCGTTCCGAGAACTCCGTTTTTCATTCTTACTGCCGCCCCAAGGGGTCGGCGGTGCGGCGTCAGCCAATGAATCTCTCCATCCTTCGAGTAAAGCTGTGATCACGGTGCTTCCAGAAGGCCGGCGCCTGTTTTCGTGTCGCCTTCTCCCTTTTCCTGTGGACGATCTCCTCCATGGACAGGCACGTTCCAAGCCGCTGCGGAAAGGAAGGGAGAGGAGCTCGTGCTTCTCTACCTCCTCCTCTCGGGTCGGGCGAAAGGGGGGGATAGCAAAAGGGGGATTTGAGAATCAGCTCACGTAGCTGTTTTCCCGGCGCCTCCTGGAGACGGAGGCGGCTATGTATCGAGGAATGGGCCCCTCGGTGCGGCCGAAACCAGCTGCATGCAGCAAATTTCGTAACCCCCCCTTTCCCAATCCCCCCCTTTCGTCCGGCCCGATCCTCCTCCTCCTCCTCCTCTTCCTCCTCCTCCTCCTCCTCCTCCTCCTCCTGCCCCCGCCTTGTGATCCCCCCCCCTCCCCTTCCTCCTCCTCCTGCTCCTCCTCCTCATCCTCCTCCTCCTTCTCCTCCCCGCGAGGGAGGCCAGCGCTGTGGGGCCAGGCCGACATCCTGCAGCAACTCCTGCGCGCGCGGCAGCGCGTTCGGCCGGGTGCCGTCGTCCCTGGCGGCCCCCCCCGCACGAGGTAAGGGAGGAAGAGGCAGAGCGCGCGCAACAGCGCGTTCGGCCGGGTGCGGTCCCTGGCGGTCCCGCCCCCGCGCGAGGACGAGGAGGAGGGGGAGGAGGAGGGGAAGGAGGAGGGGGAGGAGGAGGGGGAGGAGGAGGAGGAGGAGGAGGAGGAGGAGGAGGAGGAGGAGGAGGAGGAGGAGGAGGAGGAGGAGGAGGAGGAGGAGGTAGAGGAGGAGCCAGACGATGACGAGGACGGGGACGAGGGTGAGGAAGAGGCGCATCAGGAGGACCACGGCGAGGGGGGCGCAGGAGGGAGAAGAGAACGAGGAGGAGCGGGGAGAAGGAGGATGAACAAGCAGGAGGAGGAGCAGGAATGGGGAGGAGCACGACGACGAGGAAAGACGACGTCGACGTCTCTCGTTCCAAAGGTTGTGGAGCGATCCTGGAGCTGCTCGATGTGGTGGCTGGATGCGGGGCGGAGGACTTACCAAGGTGGACCTGGGGAAGGGGTTCGGGGATGAGGAAAAGAAGGGCGAGGAGTACTGAACCGTGAAATGAGCGCGGCCGTGGCCAAGACACACCGCGGACCTTCATGCCGAAGCTGCAAACTCCAGGGGGAGCCACCTGCGTCGGGGACGACAAGTCTGAAAGGGCCGGATCTGGACACCAAAAGGGCCACATCTTAGCCGAAACATTCGGGGGTTGGCAGGAGGATGTGGAGGAGGAGGAGGAGGAGGAGGAGGAGGAGGAGGAGGTGGAGGTGGAGGAAGAGGAGGAGCCCCTGGAGAGCGGACAAACGTCTAGCCGAACGCTTGTCGCTGTCTTCAGTGTCCGGGGGGCGTTTCCAGGCCCAGGCGCCGCGAAAAGCAACTCAGTATGAGAAGTCAGCCACGGGGAACGCGTCGAAGAGAAAGTGTCGAGCAGAACGTCGCCGGAGATTTGCTCTCGGTTTCGGCCTCTGGAAGCCAGCTTCGTGCCCCAGGACCGTCGGGAATCTACCCAGGGCGACAAGAGACAACCAAGGCGGACCTCGGTAGCGGTCCAGGAATTGATTATGAGCGCAACTTGGTCAGAAAGGGATGACTATCGAGGGGATCAGGAGGAGGAGGAGGAGGAGGAGGAGGAGGAGGGGGAGGAGGAGGAGGAGGAGGAGGATGTCATCCTCCTCATCATCTTCCTCCTCCTCCTGATCCCCTCGATATCCATGCCCTTCTGACCAGGAGGAGGATCGAGGAGGATCGAGGAGGAGGGGAATCGAAGGGAGAGAAGGGGAATCAGAAGAAAGATCGAGGAGTAGCAGGGGGTCGAGGGACGGGGAGGGGCAATGCTAATCTTCTCTGCAACGTTCCCATTTAAACAGAAGATCCCCGAAGGGAATCTCGAGGGACGGGGAGGGGGATCAGGAGGAGGAGGATCGAGGAGGGGGGGGGATCAAGGGAGGTGGAGGGGGATCAGGCGGAGGAGGAGGCTCGAGGGGGAGAGGGAGGGGGGATCGAGGGAGGTGGAGGGGGGAGCGGGCTTTGCTCTCTCCTTTCCGACTGTCTGTGCTATACTTCTCCAGAGGCAGATCGGCAACGGCATGTGCTGACACAGGCGGAAGGGCGACGAGGGGGCCCAAGGAAAGAGAACAGGCAACGGAGAGGGGGACGAGCGGACGAGAGGGCGCTCGGAAGGGCTCTGATACCGATGCCCGTGTCCACGGCGAAGCACCTCGGCCTCGAAGGCGCTCTTGCAGCGTTGCAGCGGGCTTGCTTCCCCATCCCAGAATTTGGGGCTTTGCTCCCGCTCGCCACTTCCTCCTCCTCCTCCTCCTCCTCCTCCTCCTCCTCCTACGTTGCTCCGGGCCGGTGGAGGCCCACCTGCGAAGCCAGGGTCTCCCGCCCGACACCTCCTCACGCTTTTACTCCGTGGCGCCCTGGCCCGAGAGATATCTCTGACCTCAGGAGCGGGGCCCTCGCCCGGGACGCCTTCGCGGTTCACCAAAGTTGGCGAGGGCCCAAGCGACGACAACGGCTCCCTCGGATTACTTTGTCGTCGTCGTCGTCGTCGCCGTCGCCGCCGCCGTCGTCGTCGTCGTCGTCGTTGTCCAACGCCGTTGTCGTTAAAGTCGTCGTCGTCGTCACCATTGCCGCAATCAGCGTTGTCGCCGTCGTCGACGATGTTGTCGCCGTCCGTCGTCGTCGCCATCGCCGTCCGTCGCTATTGTCGTCGTCGTCCGCCGTCGTCGTCGTCGTCGTCGTCGTCCACGTCGTCGTCGACGTCGTCGCCGCTGCACATCGGGAGACTCTTCATGGGGGGGGATCCCATGGGGGGATAGGATCCCAGGGGGGGGATCCCATAGGATCCCCTGGGGATCCCATGGAGAGTCTCCCGAGCACAGACCCCCCGCGCTGCCCTTCGGTCGCCAGGTTGGCGAGGCCCCCAGTGCCCATGCGCGTCAGCCGGCTGCCGCCCCAGGCGCCAGGCATGCTCTCGGAGGCCGTGGCGGTGGCCAGGGGCGGTTCCTGCGGCGCGTCCGTCGCCCTCTTCCAGTCCTCCTCCCCCGCCGTCTCGGAGGAGCAGAGGCCGAGGACGAAGGGGGGGGGGCGAAGGGGGCCTTGCCGCGGATTGTTTTGGAGGGCTCTCTCTGTCTCTGTTTCTTCCCTTTCTTCTCTTTCGCCTCAATGGCGTGCGATCCTTGGCATCCTATCCCTAGTTCCTATTCCTCCGCCTCCTCCTCCTCCTAATCCCTCGTCTCGACTTTCTCGTCCCTCGACCTTTGCCCTATCGCTCCCCTCGGTGACCTGGTGGTGCGGGCAGTGTCGAACGATCGCCCCGATGCCCACGAACCTTCCCGCCGATCTGTGGGGGGGGGGCACAGACAAGGAGGCGGTAATGAGAGCCCACAGGAAAGATGTCGGCAATGATGACACTGGGCCTCGGGAGCAGGGGAGGAGGTGAGCAGCCGGTGGCGCCAGCACGCGCCGGCGCTGTGCGGGTGCGGAAGCGGCCCGACTTGGGCCCCCCTTCGGGGGGAGCCGAAACACACCTCGTGTCGCCTCTCCTTGCGTGGGGGCCCACAGCTTCCCACTCCTACCCGAGGTCCGAGGTGAGGTGCAGAAGAGGGCGGTGCTCCTAGGGTGCGCCGCGGCAGTCGCGGCGGGGGGGAGAAAGCGATGGAGCGATGTGGGCAAGACAATTAAGGGAAGGGGAAACACGAGAGACGGGAATCGAGCGAAAGGGTGAGATGGGGGGGGGCCCGAGCCGGGCCCCCCCCCCCGAGGAGGGGGAGTGGGAGCTCCCTCGGCGTGGCTCTTGCGCCCAAGGGCCGAAATGGTCCACGGCCCCTAGCCTTTGCCAGGGGGCCCGTGCCGACAGTGGCCCCGCCGCTGCCCTCCGCCCGACCCCTGACGTCTGCGCCTAGCACCCCTTCCCTGGTGCGGGGTCGGGGGTGAGAAGTGAGCAAAGGGGTGGGGGTGGAGGAAGCTAGTGGATCAAAGACGGAGGGAGGGGGCTGCAAAAAGAAGAAGAAGAAGAAGAAGAAGAAGACGAAGAAGAAGAAAAAGAAGAAGAAGAAGAAGAAAAAGAGATGCGGGAGGGGAAGGTTCGAGCGTTCCTGGAGGTGCCTCAGGTGAGGTAGTGAAGGGCTACGCTGGCGTCCAAGGAGTTTGCGAAACTTGAGATAGCGAGGTGCCCGTGGGGCAGGACATTGCGGTTGTGGACGTAGGCGTGTTGGAATTGGAGCGCGCTGCCCTCTGCCGCGTAAGTGCGGAGGCTGCCGCTCGCATGCCGCGTGATAGCTGGTGCTGCTGTTTCCGTGGTGGGACTGAGTACGTAGTCGGGATGTGGTAGAGCGATGAGAATCGTGGAAAGGTAGCAGCCCGCTATCGCGCCGTCGCGGAGACAACTGGAAGGGAAACTGCGCTCCGCGTGGGAAGATGCAGCCGGAGAGGTATGACGGTGGGAATGGTGGAGTTGGTGAACGTGCTCCTCAAATGAGGTGCAACGGGTCCTGGCGGCCAGGGCTGGGCGGGCGGTCGTAGTTGCCGAGCCCTTAGCTGGGGTCGCTGCCGCGGAAGCAGCTGTTCCCAGCGCCTGGTGTTTGCTAAACCTTGGTGGGATGATGGAGGGTGGAGCCAGCGTCGGTGGGTTGGGTGGTCAGGGTGCGGGTGGTCTGGGTGCGGGTCTTCGTCGGTGTCGCGGCCGTTGAGGTGGCTGTCGCGGCCGTCGTCGCCTTACTCAGCGCCCTCCTCCGCGTCCTCCTCCTCCTCGTCCGCGTCAGCGTGGCCGATGCCCCGTGTGCCGAGATTGGGCAGGCGGGCAGTGCTGCCGAAGAGCCCCCAGCACGTGGTGGAGGCCGTCGGGAATGGGGCCGCGAGCGTCGGGCAAGGCGTCGCGTCGCCCGACAGCACCAGCCGTGCAGGGGGGTTGAAGGGGTCATCGAGGGGTGTGTGCTCCGGGCGTCGGGCAGGTCGTCGGCCGATCGCGCGTGCCGAGCAGAGCTACACTGCCAGGCAGGGCGTCGTCGGTCGGGAGGTCGTGGATCTCCGAGCTCCGCGGAAGCTGGGGCCGCGCCCGCGTCGTCGCCGGGGGGTCCGTCGCCGGGGGTCCGTCGTGGCCGTCGGGGTGGCCGAGTTGGCCGTCGAGGTGGCCGTCGCGGTGGCCGTGGATCCCCAGAGTAGAGAGCAGAAAATCCACCCCAATAATAAGCACCCCGACAAGCGAAGCCGTTTAGTAAACGCACCCATGAAAGGAATCGAACAGGGCAGGGCTGTTTAGCAAACGCCCAGGGCTGGTTAGTAAACGCGAATTGTCGGGGTCGGGGTGGTTTTTCCACCCTTGACAGAGAGAAAGGGCGCGTCCGCGAAGCGCACCTCCAGCGGCAGGGGAAACGACGGCTCGTCTGGGGAGGGATCATAAGAGTCGCGGTCGCCTGGGAGGTGGTCAGCACAGCGCAACTGCCGAGGAAGGTGTGGAGCGTCGGAGAGGGCGTCGGTGAAGCGCAACCGCCGCGGGGAGGGGTCGATAGGAGCGTCGAGAGGAAGAGTCGGACGGGGCGTCGGGTCGGCCGTCAAGTGGTCCAGCGGTCCAGCTCCTGGAGTTCCACCTCGACGTCGCGAACATTATGAACCTGTTGTTGCTGGGCCATCTCGGCCCGTCAGCGCTCGTCGTGTAGCTGTTGGATTTGGGCGTCGATGGCAGTGGCGTCGGCCAAGTGGTAGATGTGGGCGCTGGCGGCTGCGCAGGCGATGGCGAGGGCCCGTCGAGTCCAGCGGGCCTCGAGGTCCCACAGGGTGGATGCCATCCACGTCGCGGCGTCGGAGAGGGCGTGGGGTGCGGCATCGTGGGGCAGGGTGTCGTGGAGCTCGCCGTTCAGGTGGCCTTGGACGTCTCAGCGAGCGAAGAACGGTATAAAAAACACTTTTTCGCTGTCGGGGGCGCCTGCCCCAGGGCGGCTGGAAAGTTTATACCCTTACGGTGGCACCGTAGGGGTATAAACTTTCCAGCCGCCCTGGGGCAGACGCCCCCGACAGCGGAAAAAATATTTTATACCGTTCTTCGCCCGTTAACGTCGCGCTGCTCGAAATGATAGTGCCACGGGCCGAGCTGGTCGTCTCGCCCCAGCTCGCGCAGCTGCCCACCGCTATCTCGGGGCCCACCGTGGACGAGGCCGTGGGCGTGGGCTTGCGGCGCAGTCGCAGTGGTGAACATCGGGCTGCTCGTCTCGGCCCCGACACCGCAGCTGCTTCGTGGCTAAACTGCATGGCTAAAGCACGCTGAACGTGTCAGACAGCAAGGTCACTCCTTTCGCCAGTGGATGGAGACCTTTGCAAATCTTGTACCAGGGTCCCGCGCTAGGTTTAGCTTTGCCAGTCTTGGGGTCGAACGGGCGACCTTGACATGGCATCGTCGTTGCGATGACCGTCCTGGCCAATGGCGTCGTCACTGCAGCTGCGTCGGCGTGGCGCGTTGGCGGCCAATTGTCGTGCTGGGCCCGAACGCCGTGCTGGAGTCGATGCTGGAGTCGATGCCGGTGTTTATGATGGTGCTGCAGTCTCTGCCGTTATCGCTACCGGCGCTGTTGCTGCGGTCGATGCAGGGGTCGGAACTGGCGACAGTGCTGACGGTAAGTGCGTTGATCGGGTCACTGCTGTCTTCGGTGCTGGTGCCGTTGCTGGCGTCGGTGCTGGCGTCGATGCTGACATCGGTGCTGGAGTCGATGCTGGCTTTGGTGCTAGAGTCGATGGCGGTGGCGATGCTGTCGTCGATACTGGTATCGGTGCTGTCGTCGATGCTGGTGCCGGTGCTGTAGTCGGCACAGAAGACGATGCTAGCGGTTTGGTCGGTTGCGACGCCGACGTTGAAACAGGCGTCGACGTTGCCGTCGCTGCTGTTTTCGTTGCTGGGGTCGGTGGTGGTGTCAATGCTGGGGCGAAGGCGGGTTCTGGTGCTGGATCCAAATCTGTGCGCAGGGCGCGCGTCGACGCCGGCGTCGGTGATGGCGTCGGGCTGGCGTCGATGCTTGAGTTGATTAGGTCGTCGATGCGGGGGTGGATGCTGGCGGGCGTGGGCGGGGTGGTGCCAGGGTTGGTGCTGCCGTTGGTGCCAGGGTTGATGGTGGTGGTGGTGCTAGCGGCGATGCTGGGGTCAGTACTCGCGTCGGCGCCGCTGCGCATTTCAAACCCTTGTTATGCTACCTAGCGTGCCCCGGCCGCGTGGCCGATGGCATGGCGCAGTACTGGGGTCAATGCTGTCTTTGATGATTGCCTCGGTGCCAGCGTCGCTGCAAGGGCGAGTGCTGATTATGGCAGGGCGACGGGTCAAGCGCGGGGCGGGGCGCTGGAAATAGTCGGGGCGGGGCTTCGCGCCGGGTGTCGGGGAAGCTGTCGGGGATGACTCCGCGCGGGCGGTCGGAGAATCAGACCAGTCGCAGTCGTGGTACGCGCATGAGGGCTGGTTTCAACGCTGTTGTGAGGGTCGATGCGGGGTCGATGTTGTCGTTGGTGATGGCGTCGATACTGGCGTTGGTGATGGCGTAGATGCTGGCTTTATGTGCCGCCTTCTTTGCTGGCATTCATGCCGGGGCTGATGTTGGCGTCGGTGCCGCTGTCACTGTCGGCGTCGGTGAAGGTGGTAATGCTGGCGTCGATTCTGAGTCTTTGCCGGTGTCGCTGCTGGCTTTGATGCCGAATTGCACACTGTCTTCGTCACTGGCGTCGTTGCCGGCGTCGGTGCATGCTTCCGCACTCGCGTCGATGCTGGAATCCGTGCTGGCGTCGATGCTGACGCCGTTGCTGGCTTCGGTGACTGCGCGGGTGGCGCTGTTCCTCCTCCTCGACCGCGGCCCTCGCGCCCCTGGCGGTCCTCCGGCTCGGTGTCGGGCTCGTCGTCGGCGCCAGCATCGTAGCTGCCGTGGGCGCTGGCGCTGGGGCCCGGCGTCGTGATCGGACACGACGTGGGTGCGAACGTGTAGGGGCGACCCAATTCGGCAGCGCTGGCGCCATCCCGTGGCCTGCGAGGTTCCCGCCGCCCGAAGGTCGGCGAAGATGAAGGCGCGATGCCACCATGCGAGGCCGAGGCGCCGGTGGACCGCTTGGGCATGCCTGGCGCGCCGCTGAAGGCATGCCTGGCGACACGGCAAACTGCCCAGGCGCAGCCCCAGCTGCCGCCTTTGCCTCCTCCTGGGCGCCCTCCTCGTCCTCGTACTCCTGATTTTCCTCGCGCCCAGGGTCGCACTCGGAAATCTGCTGTCCGTAGGTGCTGGCCGTATGCTTGACGCCGAACTGCGGAAAATTTACAATGTCGTGATAGCCGCTAGCAGGCGGAAATGACGTCAACTCGAAGTGCTTGCCCGGGTGGCGGTTTTCGGCATCAGAGTCGAGGAACAAATCCGGGACCCATACCCGGGGCAATCGGGGGGGCATTCGTCGGATGCGGGGGGTCAGCACAGTCGTGGCTGAAATTGTGATCGTGGTTGAAGTCGTCGTAGTTGTGGTCGTGGCTGGTCTCGCCTGGGACCTGGATGAAGAAGCATTTGCACTTCAAGATGTGGTTGGTGTTGAGGCTGCCGTGCTTCCTCCAATCGTTGCTTCGCGCCTGGTCATCCTCCTTCCAGTGCACGGGGATGGCGGCCTCCAGCAGTGCGGCTGCGCGCGGGCGTCGGGCCGTGCGCATGGCCGCCGTGGGACCCATGCCTGCCGCGCGGCGCGGGCTGGGCCGACACTCATTTGGGCAGCCCTCGGCAGTGCTATTGATGTTCGTGGACTGGTGGTCGTAGGCGAGAGCGTGGACGGGGCGGTTGCTCTTGATCGCGGGCGCCCATTGCGTCATGGAGGTGCCGCACATAATGTTGTCGCCGCGCCGCAGAGCGATCCCTGGGCGCCCGCAGAGCGATGCTGACGCGCGAAGCAGGGCAGCAAAAAAACAGCGCCACAACAAGTCGACAGGCGTGGATGTGGTGAGGGGAATTGCGCGGCAGACGCATCCTTGAGATCCGACGACCGAAAATTGCAACGTCATGGAACATCACGACCTGAGCCTGGACCCCATTTTGCGAGGCAATCATCGAACCGAGCCGATCCGTGAGGGCCTGCAATCCTGAAACCCGGTGAAAACGCCGGGTATGGACGCATTGCGACGGCCAGATCTCAAAGATGGTTGGCGCCAACCCGTAGCAAGCGCCTTCAAGCTCGGCGCCCACAACGTCTTCCCGGGCTCCAGCCGCGGCGACGCGGGGCTACGCCCCGGAGCCAAGAAGCGAGGATGGCGTGCACTGTCCATCGGAGGTGGGCCAGTTGAGACAACGGCGGCTCTCTCGCCCAGCCCACATTGGCTCAACATCGATCCCTGGTGCCCCTCCCGAGGTCCGCCTTGCCCTGTTTCTCGAGGCGGGCCTTGCCATGGCGACGCCCTCCTCCGCGTCAGGAATGTGATTGCGACCATGCTCGCGAAATGGAGCCATCCCAGATGGGGTCCGAGTAGGTGGGGTCGGAGCATCGCGCCACATCGCCAACGCATCGGCGATGCATCGTCGACGTCGGGGACGGATCCGCGACGTCGGCGTGGAGAACACTGGGTTCCGCATCGAGCCGCATCGGCGATGCATCGGCGATGCGGCGCGATCCTGCGACCCCGTCTCCTCCGGCCCCATCTGGGAGACCTGGGCCCAAGAGGCCCGCGCGAGCTCTCGTGGCGGACGCTCCGAGGCCTGTGGCGCGCAGTTCCCCCCCGGGGCCCGGGGCCAGAACCTGCGGCCACCTCCGCGAAGGAACTGCTGGAGAACGGCTGACTCGACACAAGGGTTTAAGGCGAGCCCGGGGAGGGGAAAGTGACGAGTTGGAGGCCTCCACCGACACCAAAGCAGCACAGGGGGTGGACACCCACGCCAACACATGGGGGGGTGCCTTCACAGGGGTAGCTGACCCTGGACTCCGGTGGTGGAAAAACTTCGGTCACCAGAATATTATTGGAAGCTTGGAAGCTGGAAAACTCCTGGGATCACCTTGGAAGCCAGAATATTACCACCATCACCGAGGTCGGGATCTTCTTCCCTCGGTGGAGGCACACCGCCGACATTGGTGTTGGTGTCCACCTCTATAGAGGCCTGCGACAAAGGGGCGGGCCTGCTCAGAGGGCCCGGAAGGCCCGCCCTGGCCCTGCTGCAGGCCCCTTCGGCTGGAGCCCTGCACGCCGCAGCGCCGGCCCCGGGCAGGCCAGCTGCTGCCCGGCGGGCCTCGCCTGCCCGTCTCATCGCGCCGCGACGTAGCGCCGAAGCAGCGCCGAGTCCACGTCGCGTCCATGTCGAGCCCGCTGTGGGCGCACGAGATGGGGGGCCTGTTTTCCACCACCACCACCATCAGTTGGAGGGGGAGGGGGTCCTCCTCCTGCTCCTCCTCCTCTTTGTCCTCCTTCCCCCCTCCAACTTATGGTAATGGTGGTGGAAAAGAGGCCGATCAAGAGAAGGAGACCGCAGCTCTCAGGACAGGCGGCAAGGTCCCCAGAGTACGCGGGCACAAGAGGGGGGCGAAGGAGAGGAGGGGGGGAGGAAAGGAGGGGGAGAGGGGAGGGGGCGGAGGGGGAGAGGAGGGGGGGAGAAGGATGGGGAAGAGAGAAGGGCGAGGAGAGGGGAGGGTGAAAGAGGAGGAAAGGAGGAGGGTGAAGGATGGAGAGGAGGCCTGCGGAGAAGCATACCGAGGGAGCGGAGGAGGAGCGCGCCTCCCGGCTCTCTGGGCCGGGGGGAGCGTGCGGCAGGGCTCCGCGGCGTGGTTGACCAGGCCGCCAAACGAGGCGGTGGGCACCGACATGGACCCGCGCTCGGAGAAGGCATCCTGAGGGCACCGACGAGCACACGACGATCAAGCCCGGGCGGGATCGAATCGTGCGTTCGGATGGGGTCGACTTCGGATCGGAGCGCCAGCGAATGACTACCTACCAGACCACCCCAACCCAACCCGAAGACCCGAATTTGACCCCAATTTCGGGTTGGGGGGGGTACGGACACCATGTGCTTTTTCAACGTTCCCCGACCCCCCCCCCCACTGGAAATCGAGGATAAATCTGAGCCTTCGGGTTGGGTTGGGGTGGTTTGGTGGGTGGTGACGGACGGGGTCGACTTCGGATCGGAGACGGGGTCGACTTCGGTCGCCAGCGAAGCGCTCCGAATCCGAGACGGGATCGGCTCGCCGCGGCAGGCGCCTGCCGGCCCCCGCCGGTGCCCACCGAGTCGGACCGAGCTGCATCGAGGCGGCGTCGCGGCCCCCGCCGACGCGCCGGGTCACATCGGGACCAAGCCATGGGCGGCCCTGGGAGTGGGAGGCTCCAACACGTATCTCGGCTACTCCAGATTTCGTAATAAAAGGGAGGGGGTCTCATTTCGGGGGGGGTCTCTTCCAGGCCATCTTGGAGGGCCTGGGGGGGTCTGGGGACGATGTTTTGGAGGGTTCTCCCACGGGGGGGGGTCTAAAACTTCTCGTCTGGGAGGGTTGAGACCCCCTCCCTTTTATTACGAAATCTGGAGTACAGTGGGGGCGTTGACCCAAGGAGCGCTCAAGAAGGAACGAGGCCCCTGTTTCCCATCAGTGAAAGTTCGATTTCCCATCGAAAACCTGAGGAAAACCTAAGGCAAGCTGTGCAACAATCCAGGAACACGGAGCCCCTCCCCAACGAACATGGTTCCTTCTTCAGGGCCCCGACTGTATGTATGCAAAAGTCGCCTCAAATCGTACATCGACCAGCTCGCAGGCGCAGCCCATCCGGGCAGGGAAGGAAATCGCCCATGATGAGGTGCGCAAGTCGAACCAGCCACGGCCACGCGCAGACATCGGCAGGCGCCGCTGAATCGATCGGATCGCGGGCAGCACTGCCTCCCGCCATGGAGGAAGGGAGGAGGGGGAAGGATGACGAGCAATGCAGAAGAGGAAAGGACGGCATTTCGGAGGTCCGCACACATCTCTTCGATCGGCTCTGGACCGACCTCCATGGCGCGCGGAGCGAGCCAGATGCGTCGCTCAAGGGTCCGGGCGACTCTTCGAAAATTGACTCCCGATGCCTTGCCTCAGGGGATCTTTCTCCTTCTGTGGAAGGGGCGGTGGCTGCGAGGCGCCAATTGACAGGCAGCCCCCAGCGTTGCTCGGCTCCCTTATCTTGGGTTTCCTCAGGCGTTGCTGGGATTCCCTGGTCTTGTTCTTTGGGTTCCAAGGCCCTCTCTCGGTTCCCTGGTCTTGTTCCTGGCCATCCTTTATTGTGTTCTCTGGTCTTGTGCCTTGAGTTCCTGAGTATTGTTCCTTAGCTTCCCTGGTGGTTGCACTTCCAACCAATGCCAAGCACTGCCGCGAAATGATAAGCAATGCAAGATAAAGCGAAGTACAGCACTGCCAAGAGACAGCCAGCGATGCAAAATAGTAAAAAGCAATGCCAAGCGGCGCCAGGCGATGCCAAGCAAAGATTCCAAGCAACGCCAAGAAACGCAACATAGAGCAAAGCAACGACAGGCAATGCCAATACAAATCCGCCGGCCCCCTTGTGGGGCAACCAGGCTGCGAGGCACGGGTTCGCAGTTTCCAGTACCAGTTGTAGCTTGTAGTTTCCAGTGTTACAGTTCTGCTTCTTGCTGATTGCTGTAACTAGTTGATTGACCGCGCGAGGAGGGGGGAGGCTCAAACAAGACTTTCCAGCGTCCCCTGGGCGCGTTGTCTGAATTACTGGGGGGGCTCGAAATCGACACCCCTCACGCAGATCCGCGGGGTCAGGGTCCAAAAACACAGGGGAGTTGCCACATTTCTGAAATTCGGTGCCACCCCTCACGCAGATCCGCGGGGTCAGGGTCCAAAAACACAGGATTTGCCACATTTCTGAAATTCGGTGCCACCCCTCACGCAGATCCGCGGGGTCAGGGTGACACATTTCTGAAATTCGGTGCCACCCCTCACGCAGATCCGCGGGGTCAGGGTCCAAAAACACAGGGATTTGCCACATTTCTGAAATTCGGTGCCACCCCTCACGCAGATCCGCGGGGTCAGGGTCCAAAAACACATGGGATTTGCCACATTTCTGAAATTCGGTGCCACCCCTCACGCAGATCCGCGGGGTCAGGGTCCAAAAACACAGGGGATTTGCCACATTTCTGAAATTCGGTGCCACCCCTCACGCAGATCCGCGGGGTCAGGGTCCAAAAACACATGGGATTTGCCACATTTCTGAAATTCGGTGCCACCCCTCACGCAGATCCGCGGGGTCAGGGTCCAAAAACACATGGGATTTGCCACATTTCTGAAATTCGGTGCCACCCCTCACGCAGATCCGCGGGGTCAGGGTCCAAAAACACAGGGGATTTGCCACATTTCTGAAATTCGGTGCCACCCCTCACGCACATCCATCGCAAGGCGTGGTAACCCAAACTGCGAGTACTCCCTCGGCCCTTTAATCCCAAGGTGTGGTAACCAAGCTCGTAAACCATACACGTCTTACCAATCGCCCTGTGTGGTAACCCCTCTTGTGATCAGTTGGTTTTGCCGATTGCGAATCGGCCTCGCATGAAGTTCCGATACTGCTGCACGACAGCGCCTAAGCCTCATGACTTAGCTCTTCCATGGCCCATTCTCCGAGAGAGGGGGCCGGCGGCAGGGTGCGAAGCCCTTATGGATCAATGCCAAGCAATTCAAACTAACGCCGATAAATGTAAAACAACGTAAAGCAACGCCAAACGATGTCAAGCAGTTTTTCACAACGTCAAGCAAAACCAAGGAACGCCAAGCAAGGTCAAGCAAGGCCAAGCAACGCCATGCAAGGCCAATCAACACCAAGCAATTACACGCCACGCAGAACAATGTCAAACAGTACCAAGCAACGCCAAGCAACAGCAAACAACCCAAACAAATGACAAAGCATTGGAAAAGATGCCAAGAAATGCTGTGCAGCGTATTGCTCGGAACTGCTCCACACTGCCCTGGAAGAGGGCAGGCCACGAGTGCCGCTCGCGCCAGGCTCGTGGTCGTGTCCTGTCTGCGCTTGGGGGCTCTTACCTGCGCTTCTCACGTGACGAAAAAGATCGGGAGATGCTGCTCGAAGTTTAACAGCCTGGAGCATATCCCTACCCCTATGCTGGGCACCTCCCCATCACGATGCCAATCTTAGGGGCTCCCTTATTCTTTTGAGGGCGCATCCCTAAGGTTGTCATCGCCTTTTGGCGTGTCAATCTTAAGGATAGGGATGCGTTCGAGGCTGGTAAGAAGTCCGGCCACGACTGCTGGTCGCGCCAGGCTCATGGTCATGTCCTGTTTGCGCTTGGGGGTTCTTGCCTGCGCTTCTCGCGTGACGAGAAAGATCGGGAGATGATGCTCGAAGTCCCCGCCCCGTGCCGCCTTGGGCCAGAGCGTGAATGACCTGCCCCGCTTTCCGCTTTCGCTTCCGGCCAAAAAATCAAGCCACACCCCGCGCCTCCTCGTCGAGCGGCCTGACCAGTACAGGCCGCAATTTGGCATCGCTTGGTATCTCCAGGAAGCGAGGGTGGTCAAAAGCGAAGTATAGGTTTGCCTTCCCCCGCCTTGGGGGCACCCGAGGGCGCCCGGTGCGTTCGGTGGGCCGGCCGAGGCTGCAACGCGCTGCCGCCCGTGGCGCCTCGCGGACGCTCGTGGCCGCCCCGTGCGCCGGGCGGGTCGGCCGGAGTCGATCACACGAGCTGGCTTGCTCGAGACAGCTTCTGCCACGCAACTTTTTTCCCGCCATAGTCCCCGCCACAAAAGCTGCGTCCGGGGCGCTGGGTGGGCCGGCCGAGGCTGCGACGCGCTGCCGCCCGTGGCGCCTCGCGGACGCTCGTGGCCGCCCCCTGCGCTGGGTGGGTCGGCCGGAGTTGCTTGCAGTCATCGGCCTGACCTAAGGAACGATAAATGAGGAACGAGGCCCCTTCCTCCCATGAGTTGAACTTCCATTTCCCATGGGAAACCTCAGGAAAGCCGAAGGCAAACTGCAGAACAATCAAGGAACACCGAGCCCCTCCCCAACGAAAAGGGCGGCCTGACCTAAGGAACGAGAAATAAGGGACGAAGCCCCTTTTTTCCAAGCAGGTTCACGAAGTCAGAGGGAACGGCCGAGCCCCTCGTCGGCAAAATGAACCCGCGCGTCCAACGTCTGAAGGAACACCAGGGGGGCTCGCCGCCAAAAAGGTGGCGGAACGCATGCAAACCTGAGGAACGACCGAGCCCCTTTTGAAAAGTGAGTGTTCCTTATTCAAGCCGCTCGCTGTACACGAGATGGCTTGCTCAAGACAGCTTCTGCCACGCAGCTTTTACTGCCATGGTCCCCACCACAAAAACTACGCCGCATGCCTTGCACCACATGGCTTCCACCGCAAGCTTCCACCACACATGCAAAAATTCACTGTTTGGGGTCAACGCTGGCTAACATTTCTTGCCAACCAATCAGCGCGAACATGCGAGGTGCCACTCTTCAGAACAGGTGTGCCCCGTGATGCCGTGACTGCCCCGCCGCGATCGCCCTCCACCCTAGATGGCCCCTGCGGGCGCCATGGCTAAGCAGGCCAACACCCCCGCACGGGTGCGGCCGTCTGCAAGCATGATGACGAGGCCGAGCCTCAGCAGCATGTTTCTGCTGCAGGATCAATTACTGGCCATCGCTCGGACGTCCATTCCCTGTTACCTAACAGCGAAGACTGATAGGTTTCTAGTGGTGTCAAAAGAGAGCAGCAGATGACTCCACAGGGGGGTCGGGGCGGGACCCGGGGCGGCTGCCGCCGAAGCCCAAATCGCCTGGGACATCCTCGCAAAATCGCTCTTGGCGCTCCCAGAACTCCATTCCCGGGCCACATTTTGGATGCCCGGAGCCAACTGTAGGCCACTTCGTGGTCTTCGAGTTCCCAGAACTCCATTCCCGGGCCACATTTTGAATGCCCGGAGCCAACTGTAGGCCACTTCGTGTCTTCGAGTTCCCAGAACTCCATTCCCGGGCCACATTTTGAATGCCCGGAGCCAACTGTAGGCCACTTCGTGTCTTCGAGTTCCCAGAACTCCATTCCCGGGCCACATTTTGAATGCCCGGAGCCAACTGTAGGCCACTTCGTGGTCTTCGAGTTCCCAGAACTCCATTCCTGGGCATGATTTTGAATGCCCGGAGCCAACTGTAGGCCACCTCGTGTTCTTCGAGTTCCCAGAACTCCATTCCCGGGCCACATTTTGAATGCTGAGGCAGGCTGATGCTGAGGCTGATGCAGGCTGAGGCTGAGGCAGGCTGAGGCTGAGGCCGAGGCTGAAGGCAGACTGAGGCTGAGGCTGAAGCAGGCTGAGGCTGAGGCTGAGGCAGGCTGAGGCTGAGGCTGAGGCTGAGGCTGAGGCAGGCTGAGGCTGAGGCTGTGACTGACTGCCGTTGCCACTGCGACTGTCATCGCGAATGCGACTACGACTGCGAGAACAGCAGAATTCTACAACTGGATTCTCATCTGAATCTTAAGGGGAATGCTTCCAAATATGCTCCTACACATCGCTGTTAGGTTGCTTTGCCGGGATTTTTTTTTTCGGCTTCGCGCGTGGTTTTTCGCCAAATGGTCAAGGATGTTCCTCGATGGTCCTCGCCGAAGGAAAAATGCACACGTCCGAGCGATGCCAAGAATTAGCGGCATCGCACCAGGACGTCGGATTGGATCGGAACGTGCGACGGATCGGGCCTCGTCGGCCCGGAGCAGAATCCGAATCGGATCAGCCGCGCCAGGATGCACAGCGGCGCAGTCCACGCATCACGCCGCCTCGGATCGTCGGGACATCGGAATCGGATCGGACCGACACGGCCATAACCGATATTGAATCGGATCGATCGGATCGACATTCGGGCGCTTGTTCACGGGGGGGATAAACGGGAGGTCAACAAACGTGCGCCTTCCCAGCACCGTGTGGGCCCACGGTTCTGGTTTGGGATCCGTCTACAGCCCGTTCAGGGCCACCTTCTTCCTGCAATCCTCAATCCTCCCCGCTACCGAGCACCCGAGGACTGGACCCTGTGCTGCCCCGGGGTCCTCTCCCTGGCCGCGGCCACCAAGGGTGTTCGCGCGGGACCGCGACCTGCGGGGCGCCGGGGGAAGGGGGGAGGGAGAGGGGGAGGCCAGGGCGGAGGGGGTGAGTGGTGAGGGCGAGCAGGAGGAAGGAAGGGCTAGGATGGACGATAGGGAGGAATGGCTGAGGGGGGGAGGCGATGACCTGTAGTCGGCGATACATCGTCGACAAATCAGCGACAGGCCCCGGAGGGGGAAACCGCACGTTCCTGGGCGGGGTGGGGGGTCCGGGCCCTGATTGGCGATGGGTGGGAGGTGGGGGGTCGATGTTTCCCCCACAGGTGGAGGCGAGAAGGGAGGAGGCATAGCCATGATCAGAATGAGCTGGTGGCGGCACTGCTACTCTTCGGTGAGAACGGGGAGGAGGAGCTGAGCGAGGTGCTGAGGGAAGGCAGGCGTGAGGAGGAGAAGGGGAGGAGAGGATAGGGGGGGATGACAGGTCAGAGGAGTCACAACAGGGCTCCTCCACCGCCCTACGACGTCCACCCTCCTCCTCTTGCTGCCTGCTCCAGGTCCGCGGACAGCCCGGCTCCACAGTCAGCACCACGGGGGCTGCCCACGCCTGACCGTTTCGCCCCTCGGTCGAACAATCCTCCACCCAGGACTACGCGTGACCAGTCCGCACCAACTTGAATATCAGCGTCACATATGGAGAAACAAACAACAGCATAACCACAAACTTCTCTAGGGCCGCGAGGAATTCTTGGATCTGCGGTGAACCACCTCGCGGGTTTCTTGGATCTGCACTGAACCAGCCTCCATGGCGCGCGGATCGCGCCGGGCGGCGGCACCGGAGACGCCGCCAGGGGGGCCCAACGCCCATCCAAGACATCCGCGCGGAGCTCCGAGAGTTCACACACGCGCCGTACTTTCTTCTTCGGACGCCACTGTCGAGATCATGGGATCCTCACCATCCCCCTCGTCATCGAGGGCAGACCAGGGTGTGATCATGCCCCACCGCACCCCTGGGCGCAGGTGGCTCCCCTGAGCGGGCCCCGTTGTGATTTTCGGGGCATAACTCGGGCCTCCAGTGGCCGTCCAGGACGATGCGGGCACTCCCGGAACCCTCTCGGAGAGGCGCAGCTGCTGCAGCTGCTGCAGACTGGAAAACCGCTGAGTACGGACGGAAACGCCCGAAAACCTCGGGTGTCGAAAGCTCGAAACCAGCGCAGGGCGCTTGAGGCATCCATTCTTCCACGCCCCGTATCGAGACGTCCATCCTTCCACGCCTAGCGGGGAGGGCTGCAGATCTCTCGGGGGGGCAACGCGTCGGTGAAGGCAAGCCCTGTTGGGAGCACACGTGCTCGCCAGCCCCGCGCGGGGAGCAAGCACTGTCGCCCCTGCAGTGGGCAAGCCTGTTTGAAGGCAGCCGTCTTGCCTACACCACGCCGCACCGCTTCCTCCCCCTGGCCTGTGGACTGGAGGAGGTGGCCGCGTCTGGCCGAGCGTGGAAAGAAGGCCGAGCCATGGCTGAGAGTCCTACAAAGTCCATGTTAGGAGACGCCTCGGATGGAGCGCTGAATACCTTTGGGGCCCTGCTTGGGCTCCGGGGCCCCTGTCGGGCCTGCTCGGGGTCGTCTTGAAGACTCGGAGAGGCTCATCGGAGGAAGAAACATCGAGGAAGGGCAACATCAACAAAGCACCCAGTGCTGTTCGCTTCTGCAGCCCCAGGCGAATTCACCTGTCCTGCCCATCCTCCCCAGTGTGGCACCCATCGCCCTTCCACTCTGTCCCTCTCCCTCTTTTCCAGCACTTCCCCTTCCTTCCCCCTTCCCACCCCCTCCGTCCTTCCCTCTAATCTAGAGGAAAAAGAACTATGCACATGCACCGATTCTGGCCAGGCCCATCCTGAGCCCAGGATCGGTGCATACGCCCTCCTACCTCGGCCAGGAAGGCATATGCACCGATCCTGGGTCAAAAATGGGCCTTGCCAGGATCGGTGCATGTGCATAGTTCTCTTCGCCCGAAAATCCTCCTTCCTTTCCTCCACCCGTCCCTTTCCCCTCGCCCTCACACTCTTGTCCCTCCCCCTTCCCTCCCTTTGCCCTGCCTCGCCCCGTCGAGTCCGACCGACGCGGTGGCAGCGAAGAGGTGGCAATTGGAGCCCCTGGGCGGGCGATATGGCGGCACGCCGGGAGGGCAGCCAGGCAGCGACCCAGACATCCGACATTCTCCTGGAGGGTTCCAAAAGGGTTTTTGGGGGAGGGGGTTCTCCAGGCGGGGTCCCCCAGGTTCTTCGCACCCCCTATGCTGACGAGGTTTCGAGGCCCCTGGGGGGCTCTCTGGATGACCCCCTCCCCCCAAGTCCCCTTTGGAACCCTCCGGTCATCCACCCTAGACGAGCGCGTTCCACTACTCGCAAAGTAGCTACTCGCAAATGGCCTGGATCTGCCACTGGGAATCTACGACAAAAATACATCAAAGCAGACACGTGTTTGTGGGAAGTTTGTCAGTAGGTATTCCAGATCTCGTAATTAAAGGGAGGGGTCTGGACCCTCCAAGCCAAGCCATTTCAGACCCCCCCTCGTGGGAGAACCCTCCAAAACATCGTCCCCAGACCACCCCAGGCCCTCCAAGATGGCCTGGAAGAGACCCCCCCCCGAAATGAGACCCCCCTCCCTTTATTACGAATCTGGAGTACTTTGCGAGTAGTGGAGAGCGCTCGGCGACATCCGACATCATCGAGCCATGCTCCTGCCACGACGTGCCGGAGCACACCCGACCGCCCTCCTCCTCCCCCGTTCGGGACCGAGCTCCGAGCCTCTCCGAGGGTGCGCTCTGGCCAGAAGGCAGGGGGGGGGCGCCCCGCCGTGGCGACGGCCACCCCAGGAGCTCAAAGAAGCATTCAAAAGCCTGTGGCCTCCTCTGACAAGGTAATCGAAGCCAATCTGGCGCCAATCTGGCAGGCCCAATCGGGCAAACGGGGGCAATCTGGCGAGGGAGCCAACGCGAATCCAGGCTGGCGAATAACCCAAATCATCCAGTTTGGCCGGGCCAGATTGGCCCTTGGGGCCCAATCCAATCCGACAGTCTGGCCTTCGACTACCCAGTCTGATGCGCAAGGAGAGGACCCCTAACCAGTTGAGAGGGGACCTGAGTTGAGAGGTCAAAAACATGATCAAGGATAGGGAGTCTCTTTTGCAGATGTACCAACCCACTACCACCCATGTCCATCACCCCTGATGCCAAAACTGGGGCCTGACCTAGGCTACGCCTTCATTGAGTTATTGATATTGGGGTTAGGGGTTCGTCGCGGGTCGTCCCCCAGGCAGGAGAGCCCAGAATGGAATCGATAAATCGGATCGGCGATCGCAATGAATCGGATCGGCGGGAATCGGCTGATGAAAATCGAATCGGCGGAAATCGGCAGGCTGGTAGGCCTCCCTGGAGGACTCGGAGCCCCAAATCGGAACCCGACGCCGAATCGAATCGAAGCCAGAAGCCGTCGACATGGAATCGAATCGAGGGAGGCATCGAAACGAGGAGGAACCGACACGAGCCCTCGAAATCGAAGCGAAGCCGCATCGAAGGAGGCATCGACACGAGGAGGATCCGCAACGAGCCCTCGAAATCGAAGCCAAGCCGCATCGAGGGAGGCCTCGACACGAGGAGGCACCGCAACGAGCCCTCGAATCGAAGCCAAGCCGAATCGAAGGAGGCCTCGAAACGAGGAGGCACCGAAACGAGCCCTCGAGATCGCAGCGAGGCCGAACATCGAAGGGGCGGCACCGAAGCCCGAGCTCTGGCGGGGCCCCGTGGCCCGACGGCGGGCCCCGGGGCCTCCGCGGCCGCCGTCGGCGGCCGCCTGGCGCCGGCGGCAGCCGACGGCCGACCGGGGGCCCCGGGGCCTCGCCGCAGGCCTCCCGCCTGGGCGTTCGTCGTCGTCTGCCTGCTTCTCCCCTCCTCGTCCCCTTCCGCCGGGCAGCACAGCCTGCCCGGAACCAGCGTGGCGGCATAGAATCGCGGATCTCCGCCGCCGAACGAGGCGGCGCCGGCCGCCATTTTAGGGAGGGCACCTCTTGGCGGGTCCCTGGTATTAGAGTTCTCGACCCCAGCAGCTGCCTTCGACGAACAGTACAAATATACACACACAGACACAAAAATCACAAAGGGTCAGTCAAAGAATGCTGAAACATTAGTCCGCAGACGACTATTGCTTCGACGAAACATCAAAACCCACACACACACAAAATTAGCCTAGCGAAGGACCCAACCATATGCAGCTGTGAGTAGCGTCTTTGCGAGCAACGCATTCGGTGGAGCTCCCTCTGGGGACACGAAGCGCTGTGCTGGGTGTGGCGGACGCATGCGCCCCCCTCGCTGGGGCCTTCGGTGGAGCTCCCTATGGGGCCACGAAACGCTGTGCTGGGTGTGGCGGACGTAGAAAAAATCATACAAAAAGCCGACGGGTAAATTCAAAATATACACACACAAAATCTGAAAAGGTCAAAGAATACTTAAAGATTAGTCCCCAGACTATCGTTTGACTACTTTTGAATAGTCTCCCTGTAGAGGGACAGGCCCGACTTGAGCGTCGCCGAACGCCTCGCTCGGCACTGGGCAGCCCCCCCCGGAGCGGCGCGGGGAAGATGACCACCTACCAGACCACCCCAACCCAACCCGAAGGCCCGAACTTCGCCGGAATTTCGGGATGGGGGGGGGGGGATACGAGCTTCAAATGTGTTTTTGCCCATGCTGCCCGACCCCCCACCCACTGAAAATGGAGAGCAAATCCCGGCCTTCGGGTCGGGTTGGGGTGGGTTGGTGGGCGGTGAGCAGAGCAAAGGCTCAGGGACCCCAAAAGCAGCGACTCTGGTATGGTAGGTTCGGCTACGGTTACACGTGGGGAGGCAACTACTGGGATGTCTTCGTCAGAAAGATGAAGGTTGAAGCCCCAATGGAGGGCTGTTACGCCGCCAAATTGGGCCCCAGAATAAGCGGGACGAAGACGGATTAGGCGGGATTAAGCCGGACTGAGCGGGATTAAGCTAGATTACGCGGGATTGCGCTGGATTCGGACCAGGGCAAAGTCAGAATGTGATCTCCCAGGAGTTGCATCCGAATGCACGTAAGAATGACCCTTAGTCAAGACTAACCTCTGGCGCGTGACCTTCGAGAGCCGCGGGGAGGCCGAACTGGAGCGCGCAAGCCGCTGCTATCAGGACGCCTTCAGCTAGGTGGTGACCCCACTGTGCGCGCTCCTCCCTCCTCCCTCCCCCCTCCTCCCTCCTCCCTCCTCCCTCCTCCCTCCTCCCTCCCCCCTCCTCCCTCCTCCCTCCTCCCTCCCCCCTCCCCCCTCCCCCAAAGGTCACTCTGGTCAAGGGTCACCTTTAGGCTAGGTGTAGCCGATAGGTTCGTGCGGAGTCGGCGCGCGCAAAGGCTTGCGACACCGCCTCGATGGTTGAACCTTGAACCGATCGCGACCCCGAGCGTTCGAGGTCAAAATCCGTCGGGCCCAATGACGTCACCGCGTTCCTCAGTGCTTCCGCGTCGCAGAATTCAATCGTGAACGCCTTTGCCGGCGTCGACGGCGCGCCAACGTCGCATGAACCTACCGCAAACCAACACGATGGCACTCCCGAGAAGACTGCAACTGCGGGTCGAAACTTTACCCATCCTCCGCTGGCTTCCGCTGGATCGTCCAGAATCCTGGTCTGCAATGTCCTGGTGCCCTGGGCCCAGAGATTGGGGGGCGTCCAAGAGGGGGGTTCGCGACCAAGAGGAGGGTTCGCAAATCCTGGTCCGAGGCATGTGCGGGGACCTAGGGAACCGATTGGAACAAGAGGAAGGGCTACGATATCTGGGTTGGTGTCAGGGCCCCTGCCATGATGATATGCACCCCGCACGCCTAGGTGCATAAGAACTTGACCAGAGTGAATGTCTGCGACATTACGACGGTGTGCATGTTGCCACTTGGGCGCAAACCGGCCGGCGTCTATAGTAGTGCGGCAACACGTCACCTCGTGGTCAGTGCGGGTCTGGCATCTCAGGGTAGCGAGACCCAGCGCGCGGCCGGACTTAAGACAGAAGCATCCTTCAAGAACATCCAGCAGGCACGAAGACCATGAGGGTACCCTCCCCGAACCGACCCCGATCTTATACCACGGTCTGACCGTACCCCCCCTAGTCGCAGGTCGGGCATGTCTCCCTACAGGCGGAATTTGGGAGACATGTTAAAACATGACAACAACAAAAAACATAGTCAAAACAAATCAAAGCATCTTCCCCAGACTGATTTGTTGTACTGTTTTTGAACATTCCTCCTGTAGAGGGACAGGCCCGACTCAACCCTACTCCGAGTGTCTCAATCAGCGTCGGGGGGCGTCCCCCCCCCCGACAGCCCCATCTCGACCCCCGTCGCGGGCAGCCGCCGCGCGCTGAAGGCGCTCCGACTCCCGTCGCGGCGCGACGAGGCGAGGTCGACCCCCGTCGGGGGGGTACCCCCCCCACGCTCCTTCGGAAACCCAGAGTCGTCGGCACCACACTCCTGGCGGCCCCCTCTGGCCTTTGGTAATCCCCAAACGTGGTGGTGACAACACCTGGCGGTGAGTCTCGGGCGATTTGGTGTCACCACCCGGTTTGGGGACTCGTGCGGTTTTCCGAGGATGTCCCGAACACTGGCGGGTCCAGGAGTCACAAAACCCGGTGGTGACCCCGTGTCCCCAAACCCAGCGGTGACCTTTTTGGGGATTCCTGGTCGCCACCTGGTATCTCACCACCCAGTTTGGGGGTTCCCAAGGCCTGCGGCGGCGGCACGCCAGGAGGGCAGCCGGGGAGGGGGGGGCGGCGGAGGCCTGGGCTGCGGCACTTCTCCGCTCGGGCGAGGCGGCGGAGCGCCGGAGCGGGCGCCGAGCTGCAGCCGGGGGTGCTCTTGGGAGCAGGGCTGGACCCAAACGTTGTGTTTCGCTTTGCCCACCCGTTTTTCTGCACGTTTTTCGCAGCCGGGGGTGCTCGGGGAGCAGGGCTGGACCCAGACATTGTGTTTCGTTATGCTGTCGTGTTGCTGTTCGTTTTGCCCACCCGTTTTCCTGCACGTCCCTGCCAAAAGACGAACGGAACGAAACACACAGCCGAAGTCCAGCCAAACAACGTTTAGGTCCAGCGTCCAGCCCTGTTGGGGAGGACACGCGAGTGGACGCAAGACCCTTCCGAGGGCCACATGAGCGACGATGCAAAAAACGGGTCTTGCGCGAGATGGCATAGCGACCTTACGCGGTGATTTACGCGGGCCGCCAGAGCGGCACGCCACACTGGAGACGAGGAGACTTACGCGCGACCTTACGCGAGCAACTTCCGCGCCAGTGTCGGCGCAGACGACCCCGTCTTCTTTCCGTCGCTCACATTGCCACACGAATGTAGAGGGCATGGGTCGCGAAACAAATGACACTTCTTTAACGTCGCGGCGCGGCAAAGGGCAATCCGCTCGCGCGTTCAAGTTGCCGTGGGGGCACGGCAAACTGCTTGGCCGGCTGCCAGAGCAGGACAAGGCAAAGCGGGGCGGAGGACACGAGGGGGAGGAACAAAACCCAGCACACAAGGGTACCCTTGATTTGGCAGGGTCGACCTACGAATCAGCCTCGACTACATGTCGCGACAGCCGAACCCTCGAGGGGCAGGGCTGTGGGATGAGACGGCCCGCCGCTCCGGTTGCGAAGGGGGCCCGAGGTGCCTCTTGGGTCTCTCCGCTGGCACTCCCCTGGCGTGCCTCGCGCACCCAAGCGTACCCGAGGGGGACGCCCTGGTCCTCCTCCGAAGGTTCCCTGCGGGTGATTGATCGGCCGTACACCAGGATCCCGACCCCTGAGACGGGCCCAAGTGGGGCTGCGTTCGTCCTCCAGGGTCTCAGGAGGGCTGCGTTCCCACCAACCGTCGATTCTCCTGGATCGATGGCGGGCGCAGGATTCGGATCTCGCATGTCCTCGCCGCATTCCAATCCCTACTACCCGGAAGCCCATCGAGTTGCCTGAATGGTTGATCGCCAAGGGCAAGGATCGGATTTCGCCGCCGAGGATCGGCGGCTAGCCCCAGAGGGACCTGAGAAGGAGCAAGCCATGGCAAGAGGCAACGGGGCGTCTCGGAAGCCCTCCGGCCTTCCGAGAAGCCCTTTGTGCCTTCGGGGGGAGGCTCAGGACACTCCTCAGCAGGCCCGAGGACTTATGAGCCTTCGAGAAGGCCCGCCTCCCTCCTCCTCCTCCTCCTCCTCCTCCTCCTCCTCCTCCTCCTCCTCCTCCCACTTCCCCACGGACTCGCCGCGGGGAGACGCAACCCTGCGATCCGTGCAGCGCCACTCTTGCACACCCGGGCGGCACCGAGCCCGCTCTCGGGCCCGGCGGGCCCTCGCAGCTCGAGCCGGCTCGAGAGGTGCCGCCAAGTGGTCGGGGCCCGGGACTCCGGCCGCAATTGCTCACGATCCCAGGCGTCCAACGATGTTTTTTTTTTTTTTCAGTGCGCGGCCCCGGGAGAAGACCCGACCCCTTCCCTCGGGGTCATTGTTCATCCCGACTCCGTTCTTGGTGGCCAAAAAGGGGCCAGGCAAGTGCCGGGCCCCGTGCGAGGCCGGAGTCGATGAACACCCCGCCGAGGTCGGAAGCAGCACGTCGTGGGAGATCTGGGCTGCTGCATTTGGGGCGTCGTCGGATCTCCGCTGGGAGCGGGGAGCGGCGGCGGCGCAGCCGGGAGAGCGGCGGCCGACCGCCCATCCAAGGTCTCGCCCGGCACGTCTTGGAACGAGGCGCCGGCCCGGTACGAGGAGCTCGCCGACGGGTGGAAGGAGGACCCGCCCGCGGCCTGGCAAGGGCCCCGAGAGCTATGCGCTTCCCCTTCTGCATGCCGCATGATCTCAAGCCCCCTCTTGAACACCGGGGCCCTCACGGGTCGATCCGGCTCGAGAAGTGCCGCACGGAGGAGTTGGGGTCCAGGGGTCGGGTCATGGCCTCTAGGGGAGGAGCAAGGAACTGCATGGACAGAATTTCTCGGAGGTCCGTGCAGATTTCTTGGATCGGGGCTGGGACCCCCTCCCTGGCGCGTGGAGCTCGCCAGGGAGAGGGCGCCGAAAATAGAGTCTCCCCGCCGCGCCCCGCAACGCCCGCCGGGCCCCTCTGCAGCGCTCCCGAGGTGCTTCGGGCTCCGGGCCGCTAGGTCCCAGGGTCGCTTGACCCAGAGATGATGCGTCGCGACGGAGGCAAAGAGGAGGAGGGGAGGAGGCCATGGGAAAGAGGGGACTGGGATAGGTGGGGTGGGGGTTGGGGGGCGCCCAGGCATCAGGCATCCAGCAACTTTCTCAAGGCACGGGGCCCTGGAACCTCTCGACCCCTGCCTGCCGGGGGGGCCACTCCTCAGCCCGAGCCGTTAATTGACTCGACCACCGAAATGAAGTGGCTCTTCCGTGGCTCGCCAGCCCTAGAGTAGATGAGTCCCAACATTCGCACACTTGCGTGCGGCAAGACTGCCGAGCTGACGCCCCTGGGCCCAAGCCCCGCCTCCACAGCGTGACAGAACGCTGGAACGAACCTGGCCGCCTTGGCCCGAACATCGAGGCGCCGGACCTCTGGGAAGGTCCCGCGCTGCCCGCTGCGCGGCGCGCGGGCGCGCGAGGTCGAAAAGCGCTGTGACGCACCGCGTGGCCACCGCGGAGGCTCCAACGCCTCCACCGCGCGGACTTGGGGCCTCGGACGCCCTGGTCGCCCGAGGCGTCCTCGGAGGACGCCCCGCGTCCCCAAACTGGGCGGCGGCCCCGAATCCCCACGGACCCACCACCTCGCCGTGGGTCGGCGGCGCGCCCCCCCAGGGGGGGAGTGAGAGGGCGCGGGCCCTCTCGGGAGGCTCGGCAGTCCTCGGGCCTCCCGGGAAGTCTCCGAAGAGCCTGCCCCGAAGACGCAGCAACAAAAAAACTCTCAGAAGGCGTGAGGGCGTCTGAGAAGCCCCGCCGCCTTATGAGAAGACCTTCTCCCGGCGTCGTGCCTGGAACGTGAAATATCGGGACCCCTCCCCCGGGACCCGTTTTTCGTCCCGAGTCGTTTTGTTGACGGTCCCGAGGCCCGGGAAGGGTCCCCGGAGGCCGAAAGTAGCGAAAAACCTCCCGTCGTTTTTTGTTCACAGCGCGCTGGGGGTCTGGGAAATGAGAAGGCCTTTTCTCGGCGGCGAGCGAGGGGCGGAAATGAGGAGGAGAAGGCCTCATCAGAAGTCCTGGAAGCCCCCCGGTCTGCGGAGAAGTTGTCTGAGCCTTCCCCGAAGCCAACACTTCTCAGAAGGCCCGTGAGGCCTTCTGAGAAGGCCTTCTCCTCCTCATTTCCCCCCCTCGCTCGCCGCCGATGTTCTCCTTCTCGCTTCCCCCCCGCGCTCGCCGCCAGGAGGAGGAGGATGAGGAGGAGGATGAGGAGGAGGAGGAGGAGGAGGAGGAGGAGGAGGAGGAAGGGGAGGAGGAGGAGGAGGAGGAGGGGAGGAGGAGGAGAGGAGGAGGAGGAGGAGGAGGAGGAGGGAGGAGTGGGATGTGGAGGGGAGGAGGAGGAGGAGGAGGAGGAGGAGGAGGAGGAGGAGGAGGAGGAGGAGGAGGAGGAGCTTGGCGGCCCCGGCTCTTCGCGCCCTCGGGCCGCGCCCGCCCAGGCCGCGCGGGGCGCGGGCCGCAGCTCCCGGCGCCGCCGCGGGCGGCCCGCGGCCACGTCGGCCCCCGTCTGTCTTCCTCCTCCTCCTCCTCCTCCTCCTCCAGATTCCTCCTCCTCCTCCTCCTCCTCCTCCTCCTGCTCCTCCTCCTCCTCCTCCTCCTTGTCCTCGTCCTCCTTTTCCTCCTCCCTCTCCTCCTCCTCCTCCTCCTCCTCCTCCTCCTCATCCTCTTTCTGATTATCCTCTTCGTCTCGTCATCGTCTTCGCCGCCTCGCCTCCAGCCCCGCTCGGTTCGAGCGATCAGCGAAAATCGGCGTTGGTGGGTTCTCTTAGATGCTAGGCTAGATAGGGGGAGAGGACGAGGAGTATGAAGATAAACCATAACTCTGGCGGCGTGAATGCGGCATCTGAACAAACGTCGCGTTTTATCAACAACTCATGCGACATGCAAACTGGAGGAGGGGTTGAACACAAGACTAAACCACTAGACCCCTTGGTTGCTCACCGCTTGAGCGAATCCGCGCCAGTCCATCGTGCAGCCCCACAAACGTGACTTACTCAAAAGGGCGATTAACACTAAAGCATCAAACACATCACTCCCACCGACCTCCTCCTTGTTCAAAATCATATGCACACATGATGAAAAAAACTCAAAAGGCACGCCACCTTTCCATGTGCCTCCAGTGCTACCGATGACTGCGACACGTTTTGATGTTACATCTGAGCGCGCCCGCGCGTACGACTACGGACGCGTGCGCTCTGGGCGGTGGTGCCTGCCTCGTTATGCAGCCCCGCCATGTTGGTGAGGCCACCTCGGGTCGCTGCAAAAGGTGACGCACCCCCTCCCACTCCCTGCCACTCGCCCCTGGGAAGAAATAAAGCTCTGAAGTGCCGGAATATTGGAAATTGCCAGGGATGGAGAATTGCCGCGGCTGAAACGAATATGCCTTGATGAGATGCGATGGCCAGGATTGGGACAACATCTGTATGGAAACTTGTCAAGACTGGAAACTTAGAGAAGAGCTTGCCATTACCACTTTTTCCAATTACCTTGTAATCCTGCTGGCATTCCTGTAGTCCCGCTGGCATGGCAACTTTCCGTTTGGCATGACGGAACATGTCCTGAGGGTAACGGGTCCTGGACCTTGCTACTTTCCCTGGGATCAATTTCCCCGCCCGACTTGCTTTCTGACGGCCCAGGGGCTCGGGAAGGGCACCAAGAGGCAACACATTGCAAAACGCTCCACCCTCAGGACCCCCTTTCTTCATAGCGAGACGTCCCTCGCAACCAGCCTCTGGACCCGTTCTGGCCAGAATTTCGCTGCGGGTCCAGCCGTGGCGACGACGACAGCCTATGATCGAGGTCTCCAAAAAGACCGAGACCACCTCAAAGCCCCGATCCTCGGATCTCCTCGATGGCGATTCGTCACCCCGGCGCGCCTGGAAGCGCCGACGGCCCAGGACCGCCAAGCATCGAGCCCGTTCCGGACCTCCCAGCGAAGGCGCCTGCAGGGGCGTCCCGCAAGCAGCCGAGGACAGAGCGGACGCCGGTTGGCAAGACCTCCGGCAGCTCGGGAAACCCTCGCGCCAGAGGTTTCCGCGCCGCTGTCGGCCTCTGGGGGCCGCGACGGGGTCTCAGAGACCTCTTCTGCTCAGGTGCGCCGAAGAAGGGGGGCCACGAACAGAGAGGTCAAGAGGGAACGTGCAGGAGGAAGCGGAGGGCCAATGATCTCCCTCCCCCTTGTCCTCACCGCCCTCTTGGACGCCCCCCGCCTCTGCGACCCATCTGGGGAGGGGTCGAGAGGTCTGCCCTGGGAGTGGGATGCCCAGACAGAATCGCCTCGTCAGAGGTCTGGGCTGCTGGAGGGACTCCGCCTGTGCACCCCGAGCCCGTCCCGTCCAGGCCCGTCGTGGGCCCAGGCTCGGGGTATGCGCCATCCAGGCCTGCTGCATTCGCGCACCGCACAGGGGGCCGAGTTGGGGGCCACGGTCGTGGTTCACGAAACGTGTGAGCGGTCTACCGAAACACGCGCGCTGGATGCCCACACGCACGCCCACGTGGGACGTCGTTAGAGCCCCCCTGTAGGCTCGAAGAGAAGTGCGAGGGTTGTGCCAATGGAGGCACGTGAGGAGAGCATGACGCAGCAGTGCAGTCAAGCTACTACAAAAAGGAACTCCAGACAAGGAGCGAAGCCCATTATTGGACGCAGAAGCGCCTGGGTCCACGAGGAGCGCTCAGAACACAACGATGCAGGGGCCCAAGGAGCACGGGGTCCTCTCCGAAACCCAGAGTGGTGTATCTCAGAAGCTTGACTGCGGCTGCAGCGACTGGCAGCGCAGCAGCGGCAGTGGCAGGAGAGGCGGCCGAAAGCGGCAGCAGCCGCAAGGCAGCAGCAGGCAGCGCGCGGCAGCACGAACGGGAAAGGGAGCGGGAGGGCGGGAGAATCACAGGGGATACGTCGACCCCTTATCCCAGGCTTCGTGAGGTCTTCGAATGGACCTAACATTTTGAAGCCCGACCCTGGGATATACGAGGGGGGGTGCGTCCATCCTCGATAGGGGTTCGTCCGAATAGCCCCCTGGGGGTGTATTCCAGGGTTCCGCTCCTTTTCTTAGCCACTTCATTCTTCGTCGAAAAGCCGGGGGGTGGGATAGAAACATCGCCTGCGAGGGAGGGCGGGAGAAGACGGCAGGAGTCGCACGGCGCAACGAGAAGAACACGAGGACTTGGTCCTCCTCCTCCTCCTCCTCCTCGCCCCTGGGGGTCAAGCTCTTCACGGCAACGAACCCTACTCCCTCCTCCCCCTCCCTCTCCTCCTCCTCCTCCTCCTCCTCCTCGCCCCTCGCCAAACCTTGCCGCCACGCGACCCCACAGGATTCAACAGATTATCCTGTGCGCGCCTCGGAAAGGCGCCATGTAGAACTGTGGACATGATTCATGGGTTAATTGATTGGGGTGGTGGTGGCTGCTTGGCTTTGCTTTCGTGTTCCGAGACAGATAGGCCCAGACCGATCAATCAGCACGGGTGTTGAACGGGTGCTCTAAAACCCCACGGGCCATCAGAAAAAGTGGTGTTGATTCCATCTCCTCCCACTCATCTCCCCAGACATACGTTTTTGAAGGGGCCCTGGGACACACAAATAAATACACACAAATAAAAAGGCTCCCCATATTTTCCCATATTTTCTGGGTGTTTGTCTTCCCGCCCAATTCCCATATTTTCCTATATTTTCTTGAGGATCGACGATTAATTGTGTCTGTGTTTTTTTCCCTCCTGAGTTTTGATTTGATCGATACGCTGCCCTCAGCCATCCCGACCCCTTCCCCAGGGCTGGCTTTTCATCCCGAGTGGTTTTCTGACGGTCCCCGGGCCCAGCGAGGGCCCCCCGAGGGCGAACATGGCGAAACGTGTCTGGGCCCCTCCTCCTTCTCGCCATCGCTCGGACGTCCATTCCCTGTGTTTTTTTCCAGTTTCGTGCGTGGTGTTTTTTCGCCAAATGATCAAGGATGATCCTCGATGGCCCTCGCCGATGGAAAAATGCACACGTCCGAGCGATGCCAAGCCTCCTCCGCGCCCCTAAGGGCCGGGCCCTTCACGGCAACGGCCCGCGCCCCCGCTGCAGGCGTGCCCTCCCCCCCCCCCAGGGGCTCCCGGCGGCACGCCCGCGCGCCTGCTGGCGACGGCGCGCCGCCGCCGAGCACCGAGCCGGTCCCGGCCCGCGCGAAGGCGCCGCCGGCCTCCGGCCGAGGCGGCGAGGACGACGGAGGCGAGGACGACGGCGGCGGACGGACGGCGGCGGACTGACGGCGGAAGGACGGCGGACGACGGCGGAGGCGACGGCGGAGGCAACGGAGGACGGCGGCGGACGGGCGGCGGACGGACGGCGGAGGGACGGCGGACGGCGGCGGAGGCGGCGGAGGACGGCGGCGGCGAGACGGCGAGGACGGCGGCGGCGGACGACAGCGGCGGCGACGGACGGCGGCGACGGGACGACGGCGGCGGCGGCGGCATCGACGACGACAGCGGCCACCACGGCGATGGATGCGGCGCCGGCAACGACGACGCGGCGGAGGGCGACGACGAAAACGACGAGCCGCCGCGGAGGCTGTCGCCAAGGTTGCAGGAGGGGAGAGGGGAAAGGGGCAAGCTAGGTGCGCTTCCGCCACCTTAAACACCCAATCCCTCCATCCCATCCCTGCCCATTGCGCTGATGTCTCTCTCTATCCGCAGATGCGTGTCAAAGCCGACCAGGAACTCCGATAAAAGGGTCCATCGTGTTATGCGCAATCGGAAAAGGCGGGCTGTATAATACATAGGAGGGGGAGGTGGCGAGTGAGCAGGAGCATGAGCAGGAGGATAAGGAGGAGAGCATAATGTGAAATGAGGAGGACAAGCACGAACAGCAGCAGGAGGAACTGGAGTGGAAGTGGAAAGAGCGGGAGGGGAAGGAGGACCATGAGAAGGCGACGGCGGGGAAATGAGGGGGGCGACATCGATAAAGAAGGACTCGGATCCAGCAGCGAACCACGCTGGGCCAAAAGGGCCATTCTTAGCGACGGGCGCAAAGCGCCGATCCGAAAATGAGGCTGCACCAGGAGCACCATTTTGAATATGCGAAACACAATGGATGCGAAAAAGAACGATCGGATTATAACACGTTGTCCAATTCTATGTGTACAGACACCAAGAGAGCCAGCTTCCAATTTGTTACAAAAAGAATCTAGCTCGTCAGCAAATGCAGGGGAGAGAGGAGAGTGGCACTCAGAAGGTGTACTTGTAGAGTACGGATGTGAGGGAGAGGCGCAAAAAGAGATCTTGGGCTCGGATTCAACTGAATACGTCGAGACAAGCCCGCCGCGCCCCTCTTGCAAGCTCGGACGCGATGTCACGAGTAACGCTTCTCGGCCTCATACCACCACCACCACGACGCCGACCACGACGGTCAGCATGATGGGACTACGAGATAACAGACACTCCAGATGTGGGACAAATCAATTCAAAGGCATGCGAGGTGGCCTCCGCAAGACAGTGCCAAGAAGGAGGGACGCAGCGGAGACACAGCTGCAGCCACAAGTCACTGTGCCTACAATCAGGGATCCCAGCCCGCCACAGAAGCGATCCACGCTCAACTCACGACACCACATCCTGATTTCGTTGGGCGCCCGAGTTATCCGGGGTAACTCGGGCCCGGGGTAACTCGGGTTTGGATTCCCGGAAAACGAACCCGAGTTAGCCCTGACACGAGTTACCCCTGATGATTTTGGGGCTCTGGACGCCCGAATTATCCGGGGTAACTCGGGTCCGGGATAACTCGGGTTCGGAATCCCGGAAAACGAACCCGAGTTAGCCCTGACCCGAGTTACCCCGGATGATTTTGGGGCTCTGATGTCGCCCGAGTTATCCGGGGTAACTCGGGTCCGGGATAACTCGGGTTCGGAACCCCGAAAAAACGAACCCGAGTTAGCCCTGACCCGAGTTACCCCGGATGATTTTGGGGCTCTGATGTCGCCCCGCACCTCCCGCCACTCTGAAGTCGGGGGCTCTGAACCCCCCTTCGGCCACCGCGCGGGGAGCGAGGGAGCGAGGGAGGAGGGAGGAGGAGGAGGAGGAGGGAGGAGGGGGGAGGGAGGAGGGAGGAGGAGGAGGGGAGGGAGGAGGGAGGAGGAGGAGGGAGCGAGGGAGGAGGAGGGAGCGAGGGAGCGAGGGAGCGAGGAGGAGGGAGCGGGAGCGGGAGCGAGGAGGAGGGAGCGAGGGAGGAGGGAGGAGGGAGCGAGGGAGGAGGGAGGAGGGAGCGAGGGAGCGAGGGAGCGCGGTGGCCGAGACGCAGCGGGGCCCAGGACCCACCCCACAGCCCGCAGGCGGGTGGCACGCACCCAAAAGAGCCTCCCACGCCTACTCGGAAGCGGCCCCAAGAGGGGGGGGGGAAAGTCCAAGAGGGGGGGGGGTGCAGATCGTGACCGGCGGCAGGTGCGCGGCCCACAGCGGGGGGGGCCTGGGGCGTCATGAAGCAAGAAGAGGCGCCATGAAATCTGAGGAGACTCATGGCCCGCGCCATGAAATCCCCCCCCCCCCCCCCGAGTCATCACCCCCCTCTTTTCCGCCCCCGACCTACGGAGGTCGGAGTGACCCCGGCCCCACGCCCTTGAAACCCGGCCGGGCACAGCCGGAGGGCGCCTGCGGTGGGACAGTACGGCAGAGAAGGACCGAACCCCGCGGACCAAGACCCCACACCCCAGGGTAAAACAGGGCTGGGATCGGGATAAATCGCTCCAGAGCGTTGGGGAGCGCTCTCAGAGCGCTCCGGCACGCTCTGGAGCGGCCGCGGCGCCCAAGACACCCTCCAAACCCGCCGATTCTCCGAGATTTCGAGTTCTCCCGATCCGATTCTGTCCCGATCTTCGCGTCGTTTTACAGGGACCAACCCAGGGGGTGCGGGCAAGGACCACGGGGCGCGGCCCGTCCTGCCGCAGCGCAGCCCCCACACAAAGGCCACGACGTGGCGGCTTTCAACACCCCTGGGGCCCCGACGCGCCGCCCGCGCGCCGAGGCACGCCATCCAGGGGCCGACCAGCAGCATGGGCGGTGGACGGGGAAGGAGGGAGGAGACGAGGACAAATGCCACGTCAACGATAACAACGAAGACCACAAGTCGGGGAAAGACCAGTGCAGACAACGGCGTCTCCCCCGCCCAGTTCAACTCCACTAGCATGTGTGCCCAGGCCCCTCCGCGGGACCTTCGGGGCGGAACAAGCTGTGGCGAAGAGAAGCCCCCCAGGGGGCCCTGAAAGAGAACGAAAACCCTAAGGACGGCCAGCATTGTCTCGACTGGCCATCCAGGCCGCCTGGTTCCCGGGCCACAGCTCAAGCCTCTGGCGGCCGTTCGGGGCGCTACTGGCACCCCCAGACGCCTCCTGGCGAGGCGAACCTGCTAGAGAGCACCCCGAGGCTGCCAACGACGTGGCGACCTGCGGAAACGCATGGAAGACCCAAACGCGCGTGGCCAGCCCCCCCCCTGTCAGAACACTCTCCCGACACTAGAGGCCTCCTAGATGGGGTCGGAGTAGATGGGGTCGAAGGATCGCCGATGCATCGGCGATGCATCGGCGACGTCGGCGTGGAGAAATTTGGCCTCAACATCGAGCCGCATCGACGATGCATCGGCGATGCGGCGAGATCCTGCGACCCCCTCTGCTCCGACCCCATCTAGGAGGCCTAGAGAGACATGCGAGCGACGACCGAGGCGGACCGAGGCGGGGCCTGGTTCGCCAGGCCGCCGCTGGGCGCGTGGCCCGCGGGGCCGCCCAGGCGCTGGATGGACACGCGCAGCTGGCCGACCTTCGCGGGCGGCGAACATCCCTCCGCACCCGCGCCGCCCTCGCGGCCCGGACTCCGGGGCGAGACGCGCACGGCCACGCTCCGCGGGGGGCCTCCGCCCAACAACGCCCCGTGTCCGCCGCGGGGGTCCCGGCCCCGGGGCCTGGCCCTCCTTCTCATAACAACACTCCTCCCCCCTCCTCCCCGTTCTCCTTCTGCTCCTCCTCCCCCCTCCTCCCTCCTCCTCCCCCTCCTCCTTCTGCTCCTCCTCCCCGTCCCTCTCCTCCTCCCCCCCGCCCCCCCCCCCCCTTCCCCCGCGAGGCCGCGGGTGCGAACGTGTCTCTCGCCCACGGGACCTCCCTGGCGGAGGCGTCGAACAGCGGCAGCACCTCCCCGCGGGGTCCGCCGCGCCCCGCCGGCGCGCTTCGTCCTCGTCCTCGTCCTCGTCCTCGTCGTGACCCTCCCATCCTCTCACAGCCTTCTCCTGGTCCTTCTGCGCCCCCTCTCCCGCCTCGTCGTCACGGTCGCCGTCGCCGTCGCCGTCGGCGTCGGCGTCGGCGTCGGCGTCGGCGTCGTCGTCCTCCTGCACGACCTCCTCGTACTCTTCCCTCCGTCCCCCAGTGCCGACGCACAGGGACATGCGGTCGCATGGCAACGAAAAGGGCCCAAGAATGAAAAAACAGAGGGATGGCATCGGAATCGAGATGTGCTTTGTCCGTGGATATCCCCGCTCACCGCGAGGAGGAGGATGAGGGGGACGAGGGGGAGGAGGGGGAGGAGGACGAGGAAGGAGGAAGGAGGAGGGAGGAGGAGGAGGAGGAGGAGGAGGAGGAGGAGGAGGAGGAGGAGGAGGAGGAGGAGGAGGAGGAGGAGGAGGAGGATGAGGAGGAAGAGGAGGAGGAGGGAGGAGGAGGAGGAGGGAGGAGGAGGATGAGGAGGAGGAGGAGGAGGAGGAGGGGGAGAGAGCGAGGCGGAGGAGGAGGAGGAGCCCCCTTTCTGGGGCCCTCGTCCTGCTTCTGCCGAGGTGCGCAGGACACAGCCCGCCGCGAGCTCAGGGGCACTCGGCTTCCGACGCCCCCCTCCCCCGCCCGGCGCCTCGTTGTCCATCACGCTGATGTCGCTGATCTGGATGGAGCAACCGCCCACGTAGTGGGACCCGGTCAGGCCCGCTCGCTTCACCTGGCGTGGGAGGACGACGTCGTCCTCTGCCTCTTCCTCCTGCACTCCTCGGGGACCGAAGCTGTCGGAGCGCTCTGGGCCCCTTTTGCGTCTCTGGATGCCCCTGGGGATCTCTAAGAACCTCCTCACTCCCCGCTCACCCCCTTCCCTTGTCGAACGGCTGGCGCACTTCGTCGCCTGATATTCAGGTAACGCATCAACGTCGCCCTTGTATTCCGGGCCCGTCTTTGGGGTCACTGACTGGGGCAGGGACGCGCTCGGGGCACCAACGATGCCCCTGCCGTGCGCCATTTGGTCCGTCCTGCCAGCTGAACTCATCAATCCTGGCCCCCCTTGTGGTGGTCGCCCAGCTGCGACGCGAAGGTTGTGTCACTCACTTTGCAACTTACCCACTTTGCAACTTACGAGCATTCTGGATAGTCACCACTCAATCGCTTGGCAATGCATCCTTCAAGTGGAACATCGCTTCACAGGTACAGAACTTGAAAACGTCATGCCTGGAAGAATGTCTTCAATTGTTCGGAGCGCACGTGCCTATCCCCCCAGGGTCCGAAGACAGACGAACAGACAGACGAACAGACAGACGAACAGACAGACAGACAGGCAGGCAGGCAGGCAAGCAGGCAGACAGACAGACTCGATGGATCCACGCACCGGAGGGTCAAGATTGCTCGCAGACATCAACGGCCCAGTGCTCCCAGGTTCGCGAGCCCACGCAGACTTGGTAGATGCGCGCTCCTGGGGCATCGATCACACGCAATTCGAGGACGCCACGTCTGCGATCTCAGAGTCGCGGCCCTTCGCAGAGCGCCACAGGTCCCCGCCTCCCCAGGCCAATATCTTCGGCATACGGTCTGTTACAGTAGAGCCGCGCCCGAAAGGCCAAGAACTCTTCTCCTCCGACGACGCATCCTCGCGGCAAGAAGTGCTGACGCCCTCTCCGTGGTCCCGTTTTCGACGGTCTCCAAATGCTGAGCACGTCTGTAGACAACTGGCCGTCGGAATTCTTGAGCGACACCCGAGTCTGAGGGCGCAGTCAAGCTAAGCGCCAGCTAAGGAACGATGCCTCTGTTTGCCCCCGAAAGCGCCTGGGTTCACGAGGAGGGCTGGCGGAACAATCATCGAGCCTCTTCCCAACCCGAACTGTTCCAAATCTCAGCGTCTGAACTGTCAGGGTCCGTACTCCCCGGAATTCTGACGTCGTGGTCTTTTCACGACGTGAACACCTGCCCCAGGACAACTGCCTCATCCCAGGTGGCTTCTTGACGGCCTCCGGGCCTAGTAAGGGCTCCGGGGCGTGTAGAGGCTTCCTACATGGGGTCAGAGTAGATGGGGTCGGAGGATCGCACCGCATCGCCGATGCATCGCCGATACATCAGCGATGCATCGGCGACGTCGGCGGTGTATCTCAGATGCCATCGCGGAGCAAATCAAGCTGCACATCGGTCCGCATCGGTGATGCGGCGCTATCCTCCGGCCCCGTCTGCTCTGACCCCATCTGGGAGGCCTAGGGCCTCGTGATCACGGGCACCCCGAGGCCGAAAGCACGGGCGCCTAGCTTCGCCGCGCGAAGCGCGAACAGCTTCGCGCTCTCGACCCGGCCCCCAGGGGAGAAGAGGAGGACGAGGAGTCTGTGACGAGGAGGCATCGGAGCCGAAGCGCGAGGCGCGGACGCTTCGTGCCCTCGAGGGCGCCCGTTGCCGAGGCCCGAGGCGGCCACAAGACCTCGCGCCGCGGCGCTTCCACGACGGCGCGAGGTCGGGGCGAGGAGGGAGGAGGAGGAGGAGGAGGAGGAGGAGGAGGAGGAGGAGGAGGAGGTGGAGGAGTGTCATGAGTGTCATGATCGCCACAGTCTACGTGCAAAGGAGGAGGTGGAGGAGGAGGAGGAGGAGGAGGAGGAGGAGGAGGAGGAGGAGGAGGAGGAGGAGGAGGAGGAGGAAGAGGGGGGGCACCTCGAGGATGAGGCTCGAAGCGCCCGGCGGACACCGCAGCTCCTCCCGGTAGCTCCACCTCGCGGACGGCGTCGGGCTCACCGAGGGCGACTTGCCGCACGCCTGAGATGCGAAAGGGGGGCCAAGAGATCCGACGCTTCGACAACAATCGGAGCGGCAGGTCTTTGGCCGTTTCCGGCCTCCAGCCTGGAGGCTCCAGGAGCGGCCTGTCACACAACGGCCCAGGACGCAAAATTGGCCCCAAGGATGTGGTCCAGACCTCTGGGTCCCACGCATCAGCAAAAGTTGAAGCAGCCGGATGTCCGGGGGACCAGCTACCAAACCACAACCCGACCCGAAACCACCGCTGAGATCGCCAACTTCCAGGGGGGGCACTCCAGAACAGGGAGGAAACACCGTGGGATCCGAACAGCCCCCCACCCGAAACTTGGGAGAGTCTGGAACTTTCGGGTTAGGGGGACAAAAAGTGGCATAAATATAAAAACTCAGAGGTCCGCGCGGTTTTCCCGGATCGGCGCTGGGGCCCCCCTGGCGGCGCCTCCGGCGCCGCCCCTGGCGCGCTCCGCGCGCCAAGGAGGGGGGTCCAGCGCCGATCCGAGAAATCCGCGCGGACCTCCGAGTTGTTATGTTCATGCCACTTTTGGTTCCCTAGGGTGAAGGGGCCCTGGGACACACAAATAAACACACACAAATAAAACGATTCCCCGTATGTTCTAATATATATATATATATATATATATATGTTTTTCCAACACTCCTGCAATGGGTTCTCGTTTTGAATAGAGCACTGCTCGCGCGTCTCCTGCCCACACCTCACGTCCCTCTGTTCCCCGCTGCCTTTCGCCTCGCTCGTCGCTGCGTGCCAGCTGGGAAGCTGCGTTCTGTGAAGCTGTCGCCACTTTCGAGGCCTGCTGGGGGGCCCCGCACAGTGGGTACTCACCGCAGACTCAAATGGGACCTCGCCATCCCTGGGGGGCTGCATTCTGTGAAACTGTCGCCACTTTCGAGGCCTGCTGGGGGGCCCAGCACAGTGGGTACTCACGGCAGACTCAAAGGGGACCTCGCCATCCCTGGGGGGCTGCGATCTGTGAAACTGTCGCCACTTTCGAGGCCTGCTGGGGGGCACAGCACAGTGGGTATGCACGGCACACTCAAATGGAACCTCGCCATCCCTGGGGGACTGTGCTCTGTGAAACTGTCGCCACTTTCGAGGGCTGCTGAGGGGCCCAGCACAGTGGGTACTCACGGCAGACTCAAATGGGACCTCGCCATCCCTGGAGCGCTGCGATCTGTGAAACTGTCGCCACTTTCGAGGGCTGCTGAGGGGCCCAGCACAGTGGGTACTCACCGCAGACTCAAATTAGACCTCGCCATCCTTGGGGGGCTGCGACTTGTAAAACTGTCGCGACTTTCGAGGGCTGCTGAGGGGCCCAGCACAGTGGGTACTCACCGCAGACTCAGATTAGACCTCGCCATCCCTGGGGGGCTGCGATCTGCGAAACTGTCGCCACTTTCGAAGGCTGCTGAGGGGCACAGCACAGTGGGTACTCACCGCGGACTCAAATTAGACCTCGCCGTCCCTGGGGGGCTGCGATTTGTGAAACTGTCGCCACTTTCGAGGCCTGCTGAGGAGCCCAGCACAGTGGGTACTCACCGCAGACTCAAATGGGACCTCGCCATCCCTGGGGGGCTGCGATCTGTGAAACTGTCGCGACTTTCGAGGGCTGCTGAGGGGCCCAGCACAGTGGGTACCCACACGCAGACTCAAAGGGGACCTCGCCATCCCTGGGGGGCTGCGTTCTGTGAAACTGTCGCCACTTTCGAGGCCTGCTGGGGGGCCCAGCACAGTGACGCCACACGCAGATTCAAATTAGACCTCGCCATCCCTGGGGGGCTGCGATCTGTGAAACTGTCGCCACTTTCGAGGCCTGCTTGCGGGGCCCAGCACAGTGACGCCTCCCGAGTAGCTTACACATCAAGTTGATTGTCCATACAAGTTTCGGCCAACTCCTCGTTTCCATTGATACAAATGGGTTGGGTACGTCACAGGGTAATTTTGTCTTCCCCCCCACTTCCCATCTTTTCCCATGTTCTCTGGGGAATCGACCATTCATTGTGTCTGTGTGCTTCTTTCCCTCCTGACAGGGCTGGGCTGGGGTGGCGTGGCGAGGAGCGAGAGAGGTGGGTCCAGACCTCCGTCGTGCCGAAGAGCTCCAGGCGAGCTCCGTTTGGAACATGTGGGAAGTGGGGGGGAAGACACAAACCCGGAAATTATAGGAACATATGGGGAATCCTTGCATTTGTGTGTAGTTATATGTGTGTCCCAGGGCCCCTTCCAGGGTGGGCCCGGACCTCTGTCGTGCCGAAGAGCTCCAGGCGAGCTCCGTTTGGAAAATGTGGGAAGTGGGGGGGAAGGCAAAAACCCGGAACATATAGGAACATATGGGGAATCCTTGTATTTGCGTGTATTTATATATGTGTGTCCCAGGGCCCCTTCCAGGGTGGGCCCGGACCTCCGTCGTGCCGAAGAGCTCCAGGCGTAGGGCGACGAGATCTATGCATATCCACTGCTCCTGGCCAGGCCAATCCTGGGCCCAGGAGCGGTGTATACGCCCTCCTGGCCTGGCCAGGGAGGCATATACACAGCTCCTGGGCCCAGGATGGGCCTGGCCAGGAGCAGTGGATATGTATAGATCTCGTCGCCCTAAGGCGAGGGCCGCGGGCCGTGCTCGGCCTCGGGGGGCCCGTCGCTCGGCCCCTGCAGGGGGGGCCGTGCCGACGGCCACGCCTCCGGGACTGCGGGCCGGCAACCCCCTTGGGAAGGGCTCGGGCCTCCCGGGGGCCCCGCGCAACAGAGGAAGCCAAGGCATCTGAAGGGGCCCTGGGACACACAAATACACACACATATGCAAATAGATAGATCGATCGATAGATAGATAGATAGATAGATATATGGATAGATATATAGATATATGTAGATAGGTATATAGATATATATAGATAGATCGATCGATCGATATATATAGATAGATATATAGATAGCTATAGATATATATATATATATAGAGATCTATATATAGATAGATAGACGTACAGATAGATAGATAGATAGATAGATAGATCGATAGACCGATATATAGATATATAGATATATAGATAGAAAGATATATAGATATATAGATATATAGATATATATATATATCGATATATAGATATATAGATATATATGTATAGATATATCGATATATAGATACATAGATCGATATATATATAGTTATATATATATATAGATAGATAGATAGATAGATAGATAGATAGATAGATAGATAGATAGATATATATATATATAGATATATCGATATATATATATATATAGATATATAGCTAGATAGATAGACAGATAGATATATAGATAGATAGATATATAGATAGATATATATATATATAGATATATATATTGCTAGATAGATAGATAGATAGATATATAGATATATAGATAGATAGATAGATAGATAGATAGATAGATAGATAGATAGATAGATAGATAGATATATAGATGTATATATATATACAGATATATATATATATATATATAGATCGATCGATAGATATATAGATAGATAGATCGATCGATATACATATATATATATATATATATATATACATATACATATTATAAATACGCACAAATGACCGGATTCCCAATCGTTTCCCATATTTTTGGGGGGTTTAGTCTCCCCCCACACTTCCCATATGTTCTGGGGAATCGACGATTCACTGCGTCGGTGTGTTCCTTTCCCTCCTGAGCATCGGGCCCCTGGGGGTGCTGCCAGAGGCGGCCCTGGCCCGGAGGGCGGCCCCAGCTTCGCCCGGGAGGCCCGGGTGGCCTCCGGTGCACCCCTCGCAGTGCCCAAACTGGGTAGCCGAAGCCAATCTGGCGCCAATCTGGCAAACGGGGGCAATCTGGCGAGGGAGCCAACGCGAATCCAGTCTGGCGGATATCCCAAATCATCCAGTTTGGCCGGGCCAGATTGGCCCCTGGGGCCCAATCCAGTCTGACAGTCTGGCCTTCGACTACCCAGCGGGGGACGCCTTGGGCCTGGAAAGCCCCTGGCAACCTCCGATGGGGGGGAGCAGAGGGGATCGTGCGGAGCGGGAGCCGTAGAATTACGACTTGTGGGCAGGCGGAGGGGGGACGGATGGGCAGGAGGAGGCACGGGAGGGGAGGTGGACGAGGGGGCGTGGTGGGGATGGAGGGGGAGCGTGGGGGATGCGCAGTGACGCATGGAGCGTGGGGACGGAGGGGGGCGTGGTGGGGATGGAGGGGAGGCGGACGAGGGAGCGTGGAGGGAAGGGGGAGGGGGGCAGTAGGCGGGAAGGGGAAGGGTCAGGGGGGGAGCGCGGGGACTGGGAGGGAAGACGAGAGGAGCACGGCAGGCCAGGAGAGAGGGGGCCGAGAGGAGCCAGCACAATCCCAGGCGTCTGGGACGGCGGATGTCTGTAAGAGAAGATGGGAGGTAGGGAGCATGTGAGGTAAGGAAGCTTGCTCGGGGAGGTTGCTGAATCAAGAGAGGGAGGGAGTGCAGCCAAGCGAAGAGGGAAGGGGGGTGATCAAATGTGATCGGGGATCTTCTAACCCGGGTCAATCCAGACCCGGGCCAGCAGGAAACCAAAAACTGCAATGCAGGAAGAAAAACTGCAACGCAGGTCTTCGCAAACCCGGGTCAACCAATATGCGCGGCCGCCTCGCGGCCACGAGCGGCTCGCTAACCCCGGTCAGCCAGAAGGGGTCTTCGCAGGATCATGCAGGATCCGGTGCCCTGGCTGACACCCATTTGCATTGACCCCCGTCTCGAGGCTCCCGCTGTGATGCCTGCAGTGACGGCTCCGGCCCGAACCTCAACTTTCGGAGATCCGCGCGGACTTCATGGATCTGCGGAAGAACCCCCTCGCCACACACCTTCCCTGGCGCTCGGAGCGCGCCCGGGGGCGTCGCCAGAGGCGCCGCCAGGGGGTGGCGGGGCGGGGAAGGGGGATTGTGAAGGGGAACTGGGACACACAAATAAATACGCACAAATAAAAATACCCCCCATATTTTCTCATATTTTCTAAGTTTTTGTCTTCCCCCCCACTTCCCATATTTTCCCATATTTTCTGGGAAATCGAGGATTAATTGTGTCTGTGTGTTTCTTTTACTCCTGAGATTGAGGCCCTCGCCGACCCGACCCGGGACGTCCGCGAGGACCTCCGAAACATTGACTCACCGCCGAGCCATGGCCACGCGAAGGCGGGTCGGGAGCACGCGCCGAGGCGCCGGACGCCCAGTGACCCGAAGACCACCCCACAACGAAAAGCACTCCGAAGACCGAGGAGGAGGAGGAGGAGGAGGAGGAGGAGGAGGAGACCACCAGGGTGGAGACCCCGAAGACGAAGGACAGAGGGGGCACGTGCCGGCGGTGCCGGCTGCATGCATCATTTTTCGGGTCTTCGGTGCGCGACGGCTCCGCTTCTCCGATGCGTGGCGGCTCCGCTTGTCCACGTCCGCTGGGGGCCTGCTCTGGGGTGCGGCCCTGGTCGGAACCTTTGAGGCGGATCCAGCCGCGGCGACGAAAGCCCCCCCGAAGCCCGAAGAGGGAAAACGGCCTGCGGGATGTCGGTTCTCGACTCTCGACCCTCGGAAGTTTGCCCCTGTCCTGGCCGACGACCGCTCGAACTCCGGTCCTCGCAGCTCCTCCTGGGCGCCGGCCCGACCAAACTCTCGGGTCGCACCTGGCCAAAGCGGCGGCCCAGGGGCCCACGACACCGTGGTACAACCTGTAGGTGGAGAAGCCAGTACAATCCGCTCCACCTCATGTCCCCCTCCTTCGCCTCCTACCCCCCCCCTCTCCCCGTCCTTCTCCCCCCCTTCCCCCCCCTCCCCGCCCCCTTCCCTCTCTCTCCTGCCAGCCCAGCCCTCTCCTTCTGGCGGCGCGTGCGAGGGGAAAGCAGGCGGGGGCTTCTCAAAAGGGAGGTGCCTTCAGAGAAATACTTCGGGCCCTCTCATCAGCCTTCTCTTGAAGCAGGGAAGACTCCCAAGAACCCGCCCGCCTTCTTAGACGGCCACCGCCTCGCGTAATCCCAATGTGCGTGCGGACACCACCCGATCCCTCTTCCCCCATCCTCGTCCTCCACTCGGTTCCTACTCGTAGTCCTCCTCCTCCTCCTCCTCCTCCTCCTCCTCCTCCTCCTCCTCCTCCTCCTCCTCCTCGTACTCCTCCCCCACCAAGCGGGGGGCAGCCCGCGAGCCCGCCTGGCTGTCCACGCGCACGGAGACGAAGACGGCGCTGCTGCCGAACACGGAGGGGGGGCCAAACAAAAAGAGACACCCGCCCCGGCCTGCTGGGCGAGAGGGGCTCCTCCTCCTCGTGCTCCTCCACCTCCTCCTCGTGCTCGTCCTCCTCCTCCTCCCCCCTCCTTGTCCTCTCCCTCCTCCTCCTCCTCCTCCTCCTCCTCCTCCTCCTCCTCTCATCCCCCCCTTATCCTCCTCCTCCTCCCTCCTCCTCCTCCTCCTCCTCCTCCTCTCATCCCGCTTATCCTCCTCTCCTTCTCCTCCTCCTCCTCCTCCTGCTGCTCCTGCTGCTCCTGCTCCTTCTTCTTTTCCCTCCTCCCTTCCCCTGAGCGAGCGCCGCATCCGACGAACGTCATGCGCGAGCGACCGTTTGTCAGAGCGGTCAGCGGAGGGCCGGATGCAAAACTGGGCGGGCGCGGCGAAGCTCGCCCGCGTCCAAGAGACGCGAAGGAGGCGGGCTGCGCCTCCATCATCTTGAGCGCATTTATGTTGATCCTCCGGAGTCCGACCACGATCTTGAGGACCCCCCAGCAATCTTGACAGCGCTCTTCGAAACCCAACGGGCGTATGGAGAAAACCTGGGGATTGCTGGGGGGATCCCAGAGGATGTCCTAAGACATCCCATGACTTGCTCAGGAGTCCTCAGGATGTGCTTGGACTCCACAGACTTTGTCAAAGGGCTGGACGGGATCACAAGGAATACTCACCTCAAGACCCCGAGTGATGCCTCAAGGACAGGAAATCTTGAGAACCCCGAACATCTCCCATGGGCCCCGTAGGGACTTCCTGAACGATCCCAAGGCTTTCCCTTTTTTGAACCCGGAAGACATCATGCGGAATCCCATGGGATTTCCGGAGGGACCCCGACTTCCCGAAGTGGTCCCGAGGACGTCCCACGGATTCCTGGTGACTTCTTGCGGTACCCCAGCGATTGTGGCATGTGCTGACGGGCTCGAGACGCCGAACATCGCAGAACGAGATCCCCCGCCGGTGCGGCGCAGCATCCCCGCGCGAGACCCCCGCCCGCGCGCGCAGCGCCCAGACGCGCAGCGAGGTGCCGCCCGCGACGCGGAGCGAGGCCCCCACCAGCCGCGGAGCGGCACCCCCGCGGGTGTGATGCAGCCGCGTCGCCACCGCGCGCGGCCCCAGGCCGGGCGCGCCATGCCGGGTCGCGCGGCGAGGCTGCTCCCCATGCGCGCAGCGAGGCCTCCACCGAAGCAGCCGCGGAGCGAGGCCCCGCGATGCGACACACGATGCCTACCCCCTGGGGAAGGCGAGAGCAGCGAACACCCTCCCCCCCCAAGACGCAGACGAGGCAGGTGCTGGCGGGGGTGGGGGGGGCGGGCAGCGCGAGCGCGCACCTGAGCATCCACCACACGATGCTGATGCGGGGGTGGGCGCGCGGTCTCTTGCGCATTCTTCTCCTCCTCCTCCTCCGCCTCCTCCTCCTCCTCCTCCTCCTCCTCCCCATCCCTATCCTCCCTCTCCTCTATCCCTCCTCCTGATACGCAGGCCCCCCTCGTGGCACCACCCGCCGTGCCTGAAGGCGGTCCTGGCGTTTCGCCAGAGACGTCCCCACCACATACGACGCGAACTCGGCATGTAACTCTCGCCCTTCATTTTCAAACGGGTGGCGAAACAGGGCTAGGATCGGGATAAATCGCTCCAGAGCGTTCCGGAGCGCTCTCAGAGCGTTCTGGAACGCTCTGGAGCGGCCGCGGCGCCCAATACATCCTCCAAACCCGCCGATTCTCAGAGATTTCGAGTTATCCCGATCCGATTTTGCCCCCCCCCCCCCCCGAAAAAAGGGGAGGGGGCCGGCAGGGTGGCGCGGGGCAGGTGCTCCTCTTGCCCGCGCCCCCCGACGGAGCTGCTCTTCGGCAGGCCCGTGGCCTCCATGACCTCCACGCGCAGCGCGGCGCCCCCCGCGCCGGCCATGGCTCCTGAGAGAGGGGGGGGGCTGCGCCGCCCGCCGCCGTGCCGCCAGGAGGGCGGCGCAGAGGGGACTCGGAGGGCCTCCAGCGCGGCCGCTTTAAAACAGGGCTGGGATCGGGATAAATCGCTCCTCCTGATACGCAGGCCCCCCTCGTGGCACCACCCGACTTACCTGAGGGCGGTCCTGACGTTTCGCCTGAGACGCCCCCACCACGTACGACGCGAATTCGACATGTAACTCTCGCCCTTCATTTTCAAACGGGTGGTAAAACAAGGCTAGGATCGGGATAAATCGCTCCAAGGCGTTCCGGAGCGCTCTCGGAGCGTTCTGGAACGCTCTGGAGCGGCCGCGGCGCCCAGTACATCCTCCGAACACGCCGACTCTCAGAGATTTCGAGTTCTCCCGAGCCGATGTTGTCCCGATCTTCGCGTCGTGTTACGCAGGGAGGCGGGGCGAGGAGGGGGGCAGGGAGGCGGGGCGAGGCGGGGCGCCAGTCGTCTCGGGGGGACGGCCCCGAGAGAGCCTGGCGGCGGGGAGGAGTGGAGGGAGACGAGGGGGGACTCGGAGCGTCAAGTTGGCGGAATAGGAGTACCAGCTCTGACCAAGTACCCCAGATTTCGTAATAAAAGGGAGGGGGTCTGGACCCTCCAAGACAAGCCATTTCAGACCCCCCCCGTGGGAGAACCCTCCAAAACATCGTCCCCAGACCCCCCCAGGCCCTCCAAGATAGCCTGGAAGAGACCCCCCCCGAAATGAGACCCCCCTCCCTTTATTACGAAATCTGGAGTACAGTCGGGGCGTTGACCTAAGGAACCCCAACTGAGGAACGAGGCCCCTTTTCCCATAAGTTGAACTTCGATTTCCGGTCGAAAGCGCAAGGAAAACCTGAGGCAAGCTGCGAAACACTTAAGGAACGCGGAGCCCCTCCCCAACGAAAAGGGTTCCTTCTTCAGGGCCCCGACTGCATTGTTGCCGCCAACTCCCCCCGCACCGTCCCCGATGTCGCCTCCACTGCTGACCGTGCCTCGTTGTCCGTCGCGATGTGTATCCGCCATTCCTGACCGTCGTCGTCACGCATAGTTGAAGGGGCCCTGGGACACACAAATAAATACACACAAATAAAATGATTCCCCATATTTTCCCATATTTTCTGGGTTCTTGTCTTCCCCCCCACTTCCCATATTTTTGTATATTTTCCTGGGGGTCGACGATTAATTGTGTCTGTGTGCTTCTTTCCCTCCTGAGAGGTGGAGTCGAGACCTCCGCCGCGAAGACCTCCGTGGGCGAGCTCGGAGGGCGCAGCTGCGGGCACGCGCGGGTCGCGGCTGGCTGTGCCGCCGGGTCCCCCGCCGGGCCGAGCGCCCCCTCCATGCTGCGGGGGCAGCAGGGAGCGCTTGCGCCCTGGGCGTCTCGGTGGCCCACCTCTCGTACACCCTGCGAAATGCTTAAGAAATCATGGGTTAAGAAATTCAGAGTCTCAGAACTGGAATAAAAATCCAGAACTTCTATCAAAATCTTGGGATTTACATTGAAACGTTAAGAATCATCGAGACTCTGGCAGAAAACTTAGGTTTTCTTAAGCATCGCCTAGGGTGTACTGTCCGTGGCTCTTGCCCAGGTGCTGGCTCCCCGGGTGCCTGGCCACAAAGAGGGCGCCCCAGGCACGGCCTCGGAAGAGTTTGAAGGGGCCCTGGAACACACACATAGATTCGCACACACATAAAGAGATGCCCCATATTTTCCCATATTTTCTGGGTATTGGTCTTCCCGACTAATTCCCATAGTTTCCTATATTTTCTTGGGGGTCGACGATGAATTGTGTCTGTGTGTTCCTTCCCCTCCTCAGAGTTTCTCGCGCCATTGCCCACCAGGTCTGGGCAACTTCTCTGTGCTCCTCCACCCCCGCCACCCTCTTCCCTCCGACCCGTCGGTCCCCCTCCCCTCCCCTTCCGATCCCCACCCCTCCCTGGGGAAACCAAAAAGTACAGGCACGGCTGCTCCCCTGGCGACGAGAGCCTCCACGGAGACCCCCGAAAAGAAGAAATCGAGACACACCTCCCCTGACCACCTCCCTCTTCGCTGCTCCCTCCTCCTTGCGGCGACCACGACTTGAGTAGGGGATCGACTACAGAATTGATGTACCCCAAGCTTGATTTCCCCCATCGAACCTACGACCTTTGCGTACGACTTCTCGTACCTCAACGGGGAATTTTGAGTATTTGTCCGCCGATCCGACGAGGAAACTAATTCAGGGGTCGGTGAATCCTGTGGTCGACCCCGTATTTCGGGGATGGACAGACCTCCCTTTAGTAAAACGTGGTTTAGTGAAAACGACCTGAGGCCCACACCTGGCGGGCGCAGGCCTGGAAAATGACGGCCGCGGCGCCCTCTCGAGAACCGAGAACGGACAACTCACTAATCGACGTGCCACTGCTGAGGGGTCTGTCCGCCCCCGACTAATCGAACGACGGCGGCGGACTGGTTGGGGGGTCTGCCCGCCCCCGACTGACCGAACGACGGCGGCCACGACCGCGACCGCGACCGTCGCCCGCCCGCTGCGGCGCGCTCCTCGGCCGCCCCCCTCGGCGGCGAGGCGCGCCCGCGCCACGGGAGGCGCCGCGCCGCGCGGCGCGGCCCTCCCCTGCGCGGGCGGGGGGCGGGGGCGCCCGCGCCCGGGAGGCGGCCGCGCCGCCTCGAGCAGCGCCGTGGCCGCGGGCCGCCGCCGACGTCGTCGCCGCCGCCGTCCGGCGTCGCCGGCCTCGTCGTCGTGGGCCACGGGCGGCGACGGCGGCGGCGACGGCGGTCACTGGACGAGCGCGGTCCACTACGGGCAGGCAGGAACTCCTCGCAGACGGCGTGGATCCGCCGCGGGGGCTCCACTCCCCATTCCACAGAGGAGGGCATGATGTTTTTTTTTTTTTGTTTTCTGACGTTTGCGAGTGCTGGAACGCGCTCGGTGAGAAGGCACCACGACGCAACGACGACCACGACGAGGCCGACGGTGCTGACGAGGACCATGACGGCGGCACCACGATGACCGCCACGACCACCACGACTCGTGGTGGTCGTGTCAACGTCGTCGTCGCCGGAGTGTCAGGCGAATTTAGGGATGGGGGGACGGAGGGGATGGAGGATGAGGGGGGGGGCACAGGAAGGAGGGGAGAAGAGGCAGGAGGCGAGGAGAGGGAGGCGGGAAGGAGGGGGAGGGAGAAGCAACTATCTTCATCTTGCGCTGTCTCCCTCCATCCAAACACGTTTGTACCCATGCGTGTGCAATACAATCATGTACATATGCACCTACTACGTATGCTCACGTAATAAGAACGTTGCCTTCCATCGAACTGATCCCGCGATGCAGCGTCCTGCATATCGGACACCCAACTCGGAACGAATGCCAAGCCGCCCGCCCTGCCCATTAACTTCGGATGCGACCTCCTACCCACGCCCGCGACTGTTACCCGCCCGTCGGCAGAAGTAGGTGTACACATGCAGTAGACGGGAAGCATATATTGGGATCGGGCCCGCCTTGAGAATCACAAAACACAGCAAAAACATAGCGATGATTTAAATAGGAAGGCGCTTGAAATATATTCAGATCTAGAAACCCAAAATACCAACTTCCAACTACTGGCGTTTAGGAACTGTTTTTAACTATTCTGGGTAACGGCTGTTACCTGGGGGGGGTTGGGCCGGCCGGCTGGGCCGGCGGCCGCGGCGTGCGCCCGCCAGGGTGCGTCCGCGCCATCGGCACATCAAGTGCCTGCGCGCGCTGCAATCCCTGCGCACGCGGCAATGCCAAATGCACTCGTGAAAGACAACGCAGCCTGAGTGCACCACAGTGCTTCGGTACACCACAACAGCTGCGTGCACAACACCACGTCGCCCATGTAGGCCGCAATATATCTGTGTATACTGCAGCAACCGTGTGCGCAGCAGCGCTCGTGTACACCACGTTGCCTGCGTGCACCAGAGCGCTTGTGTACACAGCAACGCCTGCGTGCACCACAACAACCATGTGAGCACCACAACGCCTGCGCACGCCACAATGTTTCTGTGCACCGCAACGCCTGTCTACAAGTTGACGTGCCAACGGGCACATCAGCAGCTTGCTAAGCTTTTTCGTTGCGGGGCCCGCCACAGACCGCGGAAGCCCTCACCACATCGCCTGTGCACACCGCAGTGTCTTCTATAGTGCAGCAGCCGTGTGCGCCACAGCGCCTGTGTGCACCACCTTGTCTCCTCCTCTTCCTCCTCCTGGGTCTGGTCCTCCTCCCTCCCCCTCCTCCTCCTCCCCCGCCGCTTTGCGGGGCTCGCCGCGGACTAAGGAGGCCCTCGGGGCTCGTCTTTCAGGCTCGCGCGGAGGAGACCTCAACGATGGCCGCGGCCTTCGTGCTGAGGGAAGGGAATACGGAGCGGGAGGGGGGGGACACATAACTCCCCAGAACAATGCTTGCATTCAGGAGGCGCAGTGTTTTCACTGCGACTGTTTTGGGCCCACTCGCGCCCACGTGCTGCTGGATCCAAACTGCATCGGGAAGGCTTGAGCGTGAACAATCGGGCCCCGATGGGAACGGGCTCTGGACCGACGACGTCTCAGATCACGGGTCCAATGGCGGCCCCGGGGCGCCAGCAAGGCCACTTCGACACCCACACATGTATTTGTTCGCGGCCCCAGGATCTGCGAAAGAACCGAAACATGCCTTGTAGCACCGAAACATGCCTTTTAGCACCACTCCATGCCCGTGAATTGGGCGCCGCAACAGGTGGGGAACCTGCGAACTCCACAACACGTTTGTGAGTACCACACATGCCTTTCAGCACCACGCCATGCCTGTGAGCACATCGCCATACTCGCTGAGAGGAGGGGGATCCGCCCTCCAACCCCCAAAAACGTACGATCGTGCACGTTACCCGGGGGGTTGGGCCCGGGTAGCAAGCGTTACCCGCCAGAGGAAAAAAAACG